GATTCATGACCATTCCCCCCGTGGGAAAATCTTATGAAATCCAACTTTAGACTACAGCATATATTAATCAATATTGGGGCTCCCTTCTTGCTACATGACTTTGATGCCTGCGTTGCCTGCGTTTTGGATGTGTTGGGTACTGCGCTTCCCGCCGCCGGCCGATAGTCTTCGGGACCTGCTGCGAGCTGTACAGTCTCGAATTGTCAGTGTTCCACTAGACATTCAACAGGCCATGGTCCCATAGGGCGAATCTGTCACCGATACAACGGAAATTCACCAAAATAGGAATGCACCTAGGAAATCTTAGGACAATATGGGCTGCTTTTTTTTGGGCCGGTCCGCTTTCATTTCTGTCAAGCTTTATCAACGAAGACGTACGATTTTCCCAAATCCAGAATAGGGGTGTAGTGACTGGCCATGTGATACCCTTGTGGATCACACTGAAGCAGTCTGTGCTGCTTTTCAAAAGCCGCGTTTCTATGCATTTCTGGTAACTAAAGATTAAGTCGAGCCAGCCTAACGCTGGGACAGAGCGGAAATCGAGAATCGACAGTACTTCTTGGGTTCGCCTGAAAAATAGCTATTTCATGGTATTTCTCGAAGACAGAATGGTTTCAAATTGGTTCCTATTAAATTTTATTAAATGATTCTTTGGAGGCCCATTTTGGACAAGTTTGGTTGGTAACCCACTTCTATGGCCAATGGCCACATCATCCATTGGTATTATATATATATGTATAGATATGTGCAGGTTTCCTACAATAGAGGTACCTCAAGTCACCATGGGTTTCAGTACCTAAAAAGGTCTTGGATGATTTCTTTGGGTACCCTCACATCTTAGGAAACCCCTATATAGTATCTATGACATATGTATAAATATATTTACATATATATATATTTATATATATAAATATATATATATACATGTATATATATAAATATAATATATATATATATGTATATATATATGTAAAAATATGCATTCAAAAATCAACTCACTTCCGTCCTGTGGATACTCATCAAGGTGCACCCCCCAGGATCTGGTCCCTTGGTAAGGTCGTCACCTGGAGCCTCCGAAAATTTTCAAAAAACGCGTGGCAAGTCATGGCGCTTTTGGCCTGGATCGAAGTGGCGATTTCTCAGTGGCGACTGAGTCTGGTTCAGTAGTCGAAATCCAAGACACTGCCTGGAACATGTCGGTCTCCTCAAAAAACCCAAAAACCAGAAAACAAATACATACAAATACAGTATACCCTGTAAGTTCAGTATGAGTTTTACCACTTCAAAAGGGGTTGATGAGGGTCTAGGTATTCATGTTGAACATCCAATGAACTCAGAGCAGACCACGAAACATGCCATGATGGTTTGATCTTTGCAAATGTCCGGAAAATCCATTGCCACAACTTACCGTCTGGTAATTTAACATAGCTATGGAAAATCACCATTTTTAATGGGAAAATCCACTATTTCTATGGCCATGTTCAATAGCTATGTTAGTTTACCAGAGGGTACTGCTAATGGTTTTAATAACAACATGTAACATCCACACTGCACAATTAGCTGTGATTTGTTCTTAGGCCTGCAGTAGGAATGTCACCATCGGATTAATAACCCGCCCCAACAAGGTCAGATGGACCTTGTAAGGTCTTTCCTAGTGTCCCCCCTTAATACACGCCCTCTGAACCATGAAATTTTGGATATGGCTTGGAATCTATAGAAGTCAATTAGATGTTCATAGAATTCCATTGGATTTGATGAGATTTCATTGCAAAAATTTCATGGGTATGAGATTGATGAGACATGATGAGAAACAAAAAAGAATTGGAAATAAATAAGTTTGGATCAAAAAAAATAGGATTTCAGCACTGGAGGTTGATTAATCATGTCCAGGCCAAAGAGTTTATTATATAATCCGGGGGGGGCACCTGTTTTTAAATTACATTTTTTTGGGGGGGGGCAGTGGAGGTTGTTTAATCGTGAGGGTTTGATTCATCTTGACTTGACATTACTACCAAATAGGACAACATTCTCCCGAGCCATCCAAAACTTGGCACTGTGAACCGTGGACGATTCTGTGTTGTCAGCAGATCCATGGGTCACATCCACTGGTTTATCATCTCCCATGAAACGAGTGCCTTAAATGGGCTTATGAATCCATTTTCTAACAGGCCCAAATCATAATATGGGTGATTATGTCCCCTTGTATATCCATTATGTGCCCATTACATCACATTTTTTCCTGGTTAACGCATGTGGAAGTTGTTTTGTCTTATCCCCTATATTCCCCTATGATATCCCCTATGATATCCCCGAGAATATCGCCGTTCCACCATTTTGTCGGTGATTTTTCACCCACTGGTGGGTTTCACCAAAGTTGAACGCCAAACTATGCGAAACTCAGCCCTCAGCTGAGCCATATTTTAGCATTATTAATGATCCATATTCAATCATACTGTAGAAGAAATCCTGCAACAGTTGGCAACTATTGGTAATTATGACACACTGTAAATAATGTGATTATAAGATGGGTATGGGTCAATACCTATAGATACATTTTAGTGGGATGAACATCCATTTACCAGCTATTTTGGGGTTCACTAGGTACCAGGGTTTTGACCCATCCCCAGATATTATAACGGAATGTTGACCATCTACATCCATCTACCAACTGCAGGACGCAACGCAACACGTGCCATGGGCCGGGCCCTTTTCGCCTTTCCGACCAAGGTTGGAACCGAGGGGATAGCTGGAGTCCGCCAGGACCTTGATGTTTCACACCGTTTTCCGGAAAACGATGGAGATCAGGGGGGAGAAATTTAATGTGGATATTCACCAACTAACAATACAGTTGTTTAATGTTTTTGTTTTTCAAAATTTATGGGAATTGATAACTATAACCAACTATGACCAGAAACACATGGGATCCAGCAGGAAGGCCTCTCTTTAAATTTTTTCATGGCTAAGTTGTAGGATGCCTAGGTGAAGTGTAGGATATATCTGCTGGGTCACCGGGGATCATCGTCCTTTTTCTATTAGGTTGATGGTTTTCTTTTAAATAAAACCAGCAACCAGCTATCAATATGTGGGATGTGAAGCCCATATATTGATGATTTTGATGTGAAGCCTATTTTGATGGTGTATAATTAAATGGGGTTCACATCCCACATATAAAAATCATAGAAATGCTGACTTAAGCCTCCAAAAACGAGGGGTTAACCAATCAAATGTGGGAATGTTCATCAACACCAATGGATAGATAGGTTTGTCATGGTTTGTCCGAAATTGTGGTATAAATTCAATAACAATGTTACAAGGGAAGTGATGTTAGACAATTTTGTCCTAGGATTATACACATTTATACACCATTTCTTTGAGAAACTCGTGTCATGTCATTCCTATACGACCCGCAAAAAAGGCAAGAAACAGTTTTGCTTTGTTCATGTGCTTTGTACATGTCATGAGTCGACATGTTAAGACATCCATCTTTTCAGCCAATCAACTTTGGAAAACAATCAGCCAAGCAACACCACATTCGCCGCAGGCATAGACTTTGGTTGGCCCACCTACCTGGTTTTTTCGAGGGGATCATTGGATGTCATCAAATCCCCAGTGCCCGGGACAGGCCCCATCAGTATTAGTATTGGTTAATACGTAAAGTACTTTTTTTGTGTACGTCAATATTACGTGTATGTGTATATCTACATATACATATGTTTACATATGTTTTACATAGACATAAATAATATGTATGCATATACTTTATGTATACACCTCGACCCGACTCCAAGCACGCATAGACAATATTGGTATCTTGGCCCATGTTTGTATCATGTTTTTTTTTAAAAAAAAAAGGGGCGCATGCACGGTCTAGGTACAGTATATGTGTCCTGAGTCATGATATATACCATTATAAATTATAATCAATTATATATATATACATATCATATATCATGAGTTATCACAAATCAAATCACATGACGTGTTTGTCAGAAACAACTGGGATAATGTAGAGCCTCAAGGAAAAGAACACATGCAACATGATTGCTCCCAACACCCCAACTAGGGGATTAAACTCGGAGAAAACCACCATTTTTGTCCCCCTCCTGTGGTTATGACTCTCCTATAGGGTTGGAGATGGTTGGAGATCATGGAGAAACCCCAGATTTGGGTGTCATCATTCCTCTAGCATCCGGGATTTTTTTTGGACAGGACTTGTGAGGACTTGATCTGATAGGATGGGGATTTTTTGCAACAAACATGTTGTCTTGAAACCAGCAACAAAAAATCAAAAAAAATACCCATCATTAGAATAACTACGAGCAAAGTCACATATCACATATCTATATATATATATCAATCAAATCCACAATGTGTAGTGTAGTTTCATTTCATAGGCACGTCGTCTGTTTTCCATCTGGGTTTGTCTAAAAATGAGGGAGTACCTGGTACCTCAAATGGCATTGTAATGGGCCAAAAGCCGTGTTTTTTTAAAACATATTTTCGCAATAGTCTGGGTAAATTATAATACTTCACTAACCTGAATTAAGGCCATTTGGGGATGATTTCAAATGATTTCCCTTATCTTAAGTTATTAACCATGATTCCAGGTTTCGGTCGCAGTGAGGTCGTGATAATTTGCTCAGAATAATGAGAATTTGGGTTTTCCCAAAATTGTCAGAGGTCTCCTGGTCAGGTGAGCAATAGCAGTGTTGAGAGATCCTCATGTTAGACACCATGAATTTCCTGGTGAGAGATCCCCAGATTCATCATATTCAATGCTTCAAAGTGCTTAGCTTAAGAAATTCTGGTTGATTTCACATCCCCAAATTCAAACTCACCCTATGTCTATCAATCTTCATCACCATTATCCATCTTCAAACATGTACCTTCCAAAATAAGAAAATCTCTAGGTATCGAGGTGTTGAACGTCTTAAACGTCATTGAAATTCTCCATTTTTCCATCACATCCACACATTGGATTCCTATCCATTCTGCTGTTTCTACCCATGTCCCGTCCGCACGGTGACCTGACCCCCCGCCTCGCAGGCGGTGCCATGCAAGGGGTAAGGGTCATAGCCGCACGGTTCCTCATCATAGCGCCGCAGGCGGATGTAGCCTGGCTGCACGGCAGGAAGCCGGTCACCATGGAGGAAAAAAAAAAAACCTGGTTGGGATATGGGCCCCTTGTAAACATATGGTTATATATAATATGTGGGAATATATAACCATATATAACCATAGTAGTTAAGGAATATAACTGCATGACATTATATGACTATATATGGAATATATAACCATTATATACCATTATAATCAACCTACATATTATGTTCTTTGTGGAAATATAAAAACAAACTTTGCAAATCAGGCTCGGGATGATTCCCGAAAGCTGGGATCTTGCTGAACTTAGCTATCATGACTGGTTGGTGGTTGACCTATCCCTCTGAAAAATATGAGTTAGTCAGTTGGGATGATTCTTCCCAATATATGGAAAAAATGAAAAAACATGTTCCAAAGCACCAACCAGATGAGTGGTAGATAAATGTTCATGTGTATACATGGGCAAAAAATCCCCTGATAAATGGGAGATCATAAAGGGGTGTTCAGTAGCATAAATCCATCATAAATCCATCTGCATAACAAGATTAAAAGAGCAATTTTGCAAACTTAACGGAGCATTCCAGTAGAGACGGAGTAGCCGGGCAAGGGAATGGATGGAATGGATGGGTTGTACTGCAGGCCTGCGGGATTCTCTCCTCTCCAACCTATTTACTATGGCCAGAAATAAGGCAGAATACTTCTTTGGCTGCTTTTTGATGGGCCATGATGGGCCATTCTTGACATTCTTGACCAATGGCCGTACTTCACAAATTTGGTGTGAATCCCCACTGTACATCACTGCTGGAAATGCTGGGCACTTTGCAATTTACAGTAATTGAATTTCGAACAATCTTGAATTCATGAGCTATATGTAAATCAAATTAAAAAATACATATTTGTGATTAATTCAAGTCATATAGTTATATGTTATGCTATTAAATTAACCTAATACCAAGGCATGCTAAACTCGCCACATTCTCGCCTGCTTCGCCGAAAATGGTGCCCCAGCTGTTTCTGATCAGCCAATAGTTGATACCTTTCCTCAGGGAACGCGAATGATGGAAGGGTGCATCAGCGCATTGCGAATTTGACGTGATTACGTTTCCCGTTTGTCAAAAAAAACAGGTTGGTTATATAATATGGCAAATCGAAAATTGAAGTTGATCATTGTCAAAGGGAAACTAACTATCGCGCGGCATCACTTCCGAGCTTCCCGTTTCAACAAAACGGACCCCATAAATCTTGGGCTGAACTTGGCAATTTCAAGAGTGCAACCCAGGAAAATGTCACACTTTGCCCAGTTGCACTAAGAAAAACATGACCCATGGATCAATGGGGAAAAAAACACAATGAGGACTCGGAGTCAAAATGATATCATCATCTATTATCACATCCCAAGTGTTCGCCATCTACAATATTCCTAATTATACAACAACCAGGTAAGTTGCTATCACATACCCTCTGGTAATTTAACATAACTATAGAACATCACCATTTTTAATGGGAAAATCCACCATAAATGCCCATGTTCAATAGCTATGTTAGTTACCAGAGGGTAATCTGGATGATTCACAAACAGTCACCAACCTGAAGATCGGCCATTCTGGGATAGAAATCTACTGTCGCCCTTGTGCAATTCCCATCATTCATTCGTGACGTAGAGCGGTGAGGTCGCCATGATCCACTCAGATATGTTTCTGTCTGAAATTAGGTACTCCCAAATTCAATATGCCCCATCAAAATCCATAAACAAATGTTATTTTATGGTAAATCCCATGTTCAAACAGACTCATAAACCATTGACCAAGGCAATCTGACGCGATTTCAGAGCTGAGCTAACTCATTTTGTTTACCACAAATGACCCTCTTGTAGTCTAAGATAGCCATGGGAAATTGCTTAGCTGTAAATCATCGAAAAGAAACATATGAAACATTGCCATTTGATATGGCTATGTTAGATGTCCAAACATAAAGATATATAAAGTTCAAGCCAGTTACTCAGTTTACTCGTAGGGGAGCATATCAACTTGACTCGGTATTGTGTTGTAAGCCCTCTGATGAGTGAAACAAAAGTCCGCGTGGTTAATCCGGGGTCGCCATTATGTTGCCCAAATTGGTATCATTCAGATCATCATGTTACCCGGCCTGGTAAACGTTTACATAACTATGGAACATCACCAGTTTCGATAGGTAAATCAACTATTTCTATGGTCCATATTTTCCATAGCTTTTTGTATGTTTACCGGAGGGTATCTGGTTTTTTTGGGATTTTGTAGGTTAATTGGGATCATCCTCGATCCTGGGTAGCAACGGAATGTTAGGAACAAATCGTGGCCGACATGGTAAATCAAACATGGCTTGCTGGAAAAGCACCATTTATAAATTATGTTCCCATTGAAACCCTCATTTCCAAGGGGTGTCCCATTGCTACGTTTGATTATCGGAGGGTAATCACCACACAAATACTGCTATCGACAAACACCAAATCACATGAAATCCCATCCAGCTCATATTCCAATTCCCGTCCTAAATGGCGTCCAAAAATACATAACTGACATAACTCATGTGGGCGACTCCACAAGGCAATAGTCACCATCCATTATCCCCAACATGATCCCTTTTTTTCGCACAATCAACTTCAACACGCCAGGATTGTCTGAAAATATGCTACCCCTGCCAATGCATCCTGGAAGTTTCTTCAATACGTCATGTTCATTCCATGTTTTCTCCTTAAGCCCAGTACTCCCAGCCGCCCAGCTTCTCAGAGCCGAAACCATCCAACACCACCGCATGGTTGATGTTTGGCGCTGTCTTGTTGCAGCTATCAAAGATTCCTCGACGCCAGGTGTGGCAGGTGTTGGTCTACCATGGTCCATCCTATGGTGACTCATGGGTTGCCCAAACCTAGAGATCTTGGCCATGTTCTGCACGTAACCCGTCCACTGGGAGTATACCAACCATATGTTAACGACCGGAAACTTAAGTGCAAATCGACGTTCTGACCGACACACACACACACATCTTTAAATCCATAATTTTCATGAATTCATATTTGAATATTAAGAGATATTGTAAATTATAAATAATTCTACACACACACAACCATATGAAACGTTTGAGTCTTCCTAACAAAATGACCCCCTTTCCGACTCCGGCTTCATCCCCATCTCCGGTTTCGATCCTCCGTGGTACAACCACCAATTGCTGGCGTCCACAGAGACAGCCACAGGGCCTTCCATGACCGCCTCCATCAAGGCCTGCGTGGCAGCTGAACGAGAAGTCATCGTACTGTTTGACCCTCCGTTTGTACCGTTTAAAAATGGTGGTTTACCACGCACTGATAGTACTTCATCTTTTTTACACACTTTTACCATTATTTAATGGTATTTGGAGGGTCTAGATAGGTAGATTATGTAGGAAATATATGAGAATTATGAGAACCAATATTATAACAATGGGTAAATATATCGGAAAATATGTAAATGTGAAAAGAACAATAAATACATTGACGGGATATATCGAACAAAATGATGGGATATCACATAAATAATGGCAGATTATCGGATATAATCGGTGTGTATATATATATGTGTGTTTCTTTCAAAAGAATGGGTATATGGTATATATAAATATCAACCATTACTCAGACGTTGGGTTTGTGTATGTTTTTTTTTTTTGTAACCACGAACAAGCACGATTAAAAGGGTTTATAAACAATCTTAATTTATCATGTAAATGTAAATAGATACATACATAAAAACATAATGTAATTATATATATACATACATATATGTATGTATCTACATATATATATATATATATATATGTATACTATATATATATATATGGGTAAAATATAATATTTCACTAACCTAAATTAAGGCCATTTGGGCATGATTTCCCTTACTAACCATGATTCCAGGTTTCGGGAGAACAGTGAGGTCGTTATAATTTTCCCATATATATACTATATATAAATAAATATAGTTAATATATATATATATATTATTTTTATTATTATTATTATTTATTATTATTATTATATATACATGATGAAGTAATAAACTCTTATAATCGTGGTTGTCGTTGGTTAATTTCCTCCCTATCGCCAAACATTGGGTCACCAACGGTTGACTCTCCATGATTTGAGCTAATGGCTGTGGCAGAATCCCAGGGAGTTTTTTGAGCCTTCAAAAAAGGAGGGAACAGTAAAAACCCAGAAAAAACCGGGATAATGTACCCAACTATTCACCAATCATTCCAATCATTGGCTACTATATATAAAGTGATCTATAAAGTATTCATTGAAACCCCGATGTTTGTAGAAGCACTGAGTCACTAAGACTTCAACTTCGCGGAACTCAGTCAGACAGTTCCATCGGCATCCTGTTGGGGATCCGACACAAACAGGAAGTGGCATGATTTGTGGTTTGTAACTGGGATGTAGACCAAAAAAAAAAATGTAATTAGCCCAGTTCCTAACCACAAATCGCCCAATTCTGGCAACAGCGTTGTCAGTGTATACTGATTGGTGGTTTCAATACCATGGAACATATAAAAAAAATATCATAGTTATTTCAGTGTTCACAAAACGTGTAAATATGCAATGAATTGCAATTTTCGTTGCATGTATGCTTCAAACAGGGTTATTTTTCTGTGTTTTTTGAGTACCCTTATGGAGGAAACACGCTGCACGGAGAGAACTTAGCATGCCCTGTTTTTTTAGCCTAAAATATGCATTTTGTATGGCAATACTGTGGTTTGGTTCTTCGACACACTGAAATTTAGAATGTCCCTTGGCCGGCATTCTAAAATACCCTAAAAACATGGTTGTTGGCCGTATTCTAAGTTCAAACATCAAAATTTTGGAAAACTTGTGAGCATTCTAAGTTTCAGTGTGTCGCTATAATTGGAATTGTCATTCAAAACAGAAAAGAAAATCCACTTATTCCAAACCGCCAGCCAGTTGAACATAAAACTCTCAATACATCAATCAAGCAGCATCCACCACGAACACCCCCACAAGCAAACAACTCCATACCCAATATCATTTTTTGAAATATCATCAACATCAACAACAACACCCATCAATCATCAAAAGAAACATGAATAATGAATGATTATTGATGATGTTCGACTTTCGCTAGCAAACAACACACTCTGATAATGATTTTTCTGGTTAAACCCCTATTTGTTGATTCTTTCAACATGGTTTCAGCCTGTTTCAACACACACGTGATGCGTTTCCCGTGGATGCCAGCTCCACCCGGCACCGCTGCATCGTTCTTGATGACGTTCACGTGCCCCGTGATGCTGGCTTTGGGCGGCCAATACACGGTGCCGTTATAGGCCTCACCTCAGGCTGGGAATTTGCCAAGGTGAGCAGATCCAAACAGAAAGGAGTTTCGTTGTTAAACCATGTTAAACCCCAAAAAGATGAGGAAACATGGTGATTGAAGCAGAAAAAAAAAACATGAACCAGCAAGAATCATGATCTAAACCGGGAGAAGGGTGATTTCTATAAGCAACACATATGGTGATTCGCCATTCTGCATCTTTTGGGGGTCACTATGCAATGTTGATCGATAATGTTCTTGGTCCATCACCATCTATCATTTACTCTAATTGAGTCTATATAATGTAGTTTGAAAAACAGCACTTTCATGCATTTTCTTTTTTGTTCACTATTCAAAGGTTTTTGTGTTTCTGAAGACCATACCTTCACAACACATAAAAACAGGTTCCGAATCATCCCATTCATTTGGGAGTCATTCACAATACAATGATACCCATAATTAGGGGGTTGCAAAATGGAGCTGATTAGGTTTACATAAACACAAACCCCAGTGATCATAGTTTTATCCCCCATAAACCCTAGTTAAGCAAGTTATCAGTCAACTTAGCTATCTGTTGTAGATAGGAGGGCCTCACCTTGTTTTTTGCAACTATGATTTACACTTTACACATAGTAAGGTCCACGAATGGTACTTGGGGTGATCCTGACCTGCAGGGACCCCGAAACAGGCAGCGTTGACGCGATGCAACCAGACTTGCAATTACGTCTGGGAGATAAACACAAATACATATACATAATTATGTATATATATATATAAGTAAACACATATAGTTATATTATAGCGACGGACATATACTTAGAACATCAATTTTTCCAAAATTTCGGAACCTCCTCTTAGAACATCAAAATTACCATACTTAGAACTTCAAAAATGTTTCTAAGTATGCACTTAGAACATCAGAAAAACAGATACTTAGAACATCTCCTTTGATTTTCGCATACTTAGAACATTAAAACACACATATACTTAGAACATGTCCTGTTACTTTGGTAAATCTGCATATATACACACAAATACCTTGGTGAACACCATACTTAGAACACTTTCTCCCCTCACTGCTGCAGCATTCTATACCTTTTCTTCGGGAACAATATCCCAAGCAGTCTTCGCTGCAATGGGAAGGTCTCTAGAAATTTGTGGGTTTCCTACAGGGGGTAGTCAAAAAGCATAGGTTTCAATACTAAAATGAGCTAAAATGAATTATATATAATTTTGAATTATTTTGACGGACTCCTACTTAGAATAAAAAGTTTTTTCCAAAATTTGAAAACCAGTACTTAGAATAAAGCCATTACGGGACGAATCTGGTACTAAGAACCAGTGTACTTAGAATAAAAAACAACTGTACTTAGAACATATATATATATATACATACAGTATATATATATATATATTGCATGACATTCATCAACCCTTGAGAGACAAAGAATGGTTCACATCAAGAAGTTCGGCTACAACACCCACATATATCATATATATAAGTATGCTGCTGCTCTATCGATATTGTATATTCAGGTGCGAAAGCCTGTTGTGCATGACCATATGCCATTGATTTGTGGTTGCTACTCACTCATCACTATCAACTTCATACTGCCACGTGTAGCTCATATCACAAACGTGTTGCATGTTCTAAGTACGTGTTCCTGCAAGCTAAAATGAGTTTTTGCACGTGGCTGCTACTCCCTCATCACTATTAATTTCATACTGCCACGTGTAGCTCATATCACAAACGTGTTGCATGTTCTAAGTACGTGTTCCTGCAAGCTAAAATGAGTTTTTGCACGTGGTTGCTACTCACTCATCACTATCAACTTTAAACTGCCACATGTAGCTCATATCACAAACGTGTTGCATGTTCTAAGTACGTGTTCCTGCAAGCTAAAATGAGTTTCTGCACATGGTTGCTACTCACTCATCACTATCAACTTCATACTGCCACGTGTAGCTCATATCACAAACGTGTTCCGTGTTCTAAGTACGTGTTCTTGCAAGATAAAATGAGTTTTTGCACGTGGCTGCTACTCCCTCATCACTAATAATTTCATGTTGCCACGTGTAGCTCATATCACAAACGTGTTGCATGTTCTAAGTACGTGTTCCTGCAAGCTAAAATGAGTTTTGCACGTGGTTGCTACTCACTCATAACTATTAATTTCATGCTGCCACGTGTAGCTCATATCACAAACGTGTTGCATGTTCTAAGTACGTGTTCCTGCAAGCTAAAATGAGTTTTTGCACATGGTTGCTACTCACTCATCACTATCAACTTCATACTGCCACGTGTAGCTTGTAATCACGACCAATTTGCATGTTCTAAGTGTGTGCTCCTGCAAGCCAAAATGGGTTTTTGCACGTGGTTGCTACTCACTCATCACTATCAACTTCATACTGCCACGTGTAGCTCGTATCACGACCAATTTGCATGTTCTAAGTGTGTGCTCCTGCAAGCCAAAATGGGTTTTTGCACGTGGTTGCTACTCACTCATCACTATCAACTTCATACTGCCACGTGTAGCTCATATCACAAACGTGTTGCATGTTCTAAGTACGTGTTCCTGCAAGCTAAAATGAGTTTTTGCACGTGGTTGCTACTCACTCATCACTATCAACTTCATACTGCCACGTGTAGCTCGTATCACGATCAATTTGCATGTTCTAAGTACGTGTTCCTGCAAGCTAAAATGAGTTTTTGCACATGGTTGCTACTCACTCATCACTATCAACTTCATACTGCCACGTGTAGCTCATATCGCAAACGTGTTGCATGTTCTAAGTACGTGTTCCTGCAAGCTAAAATGAGTTTTTGCACGTGGTTGCTACTCACTCATCACTATCAACTTCATACTGCCACGTGTAGCTCATATCACAAACGTGTTGCATGTTCTAAGTACGTGTTCCTGCAAGCTAAAATGAGTTTTTGCACATTGGTTGCTACTCACTCATCACTATCAACTTCATACTGCCACGTGTAGCTCATATCACAAACGTGTTGCATGTTCTAAGTACGTGTTCCTGCAAGCTAAAATGAGTTTTTGCACGTGGTTGCTACTCACTCATAACTATCAACTTTATACTGCCACGTGTAGCTCATATCACAAACGTGTTGCATGTTCTAAGTACGTGTTCCTGCAAGCTAAAATGAGTTTTTGCACATGGTTGCTACTCACTCATCACTATCAACTTCATACTGCCACGTGTAGCTCATATCGCAAACGTGTTGCATGTTCTAAGTACGTGTTCCTGCAAGCTAAAATGGTTTTTGCACATGGTTGCTACTCACTCATGACTATCAACTTCATACTGCCACGTGTAGCTCGTATCACGACAATTTGCATGTTCTAAGTGTGTGCTCCTGCAAGCTAAAATGAGTTTTTGCACGTGGTTGCTACTCACTCATCACTATTAATTTCATACTGCCACGTGTAGCTCATATCACAAACGTGTTGCATGTTCTAAGTACGTGTTCCTGCAAGCTAAAATGAGTTTTTGCACGTGGCTGCTACTCACTCATCACTATTAATTTCATACTGCCACGTGTAGCTCATATCACAAACGTGTTGCATGTTCTAAGTACGTGTTCCTGCAAGCTAAAATGAGTTTTTGCACGTGGTTGCTACTCACTCATCACTATCAACTTCATACTGCCACGTGTAGCTCATATCAACACGTGTTGCATGTTCTAAGTACGTGTTCCTGCAAGCTAAAATGAGTTTTTGCACGTGGTTGCTACTCACTCATAACTATCAACTTTATACTGCCACGTGTAGCTCATATCACAAACGTGTTGCATGTTCTAAGTACGTGTTCCTGCAAGCTAAAATTAGTTTTTGCACGTGGTTGCTACTCACTCATCACTATCAACTTCATACTGCCACGTGTAGCTCATATCACAAACGTGTTGCATGTTCTAAGTACGTGTTCCTGCAAGCTAAAATGAGTTTTTGCACGTGGTTGCTACTCACTCATAACTATCAACTTTATACTGCCACGTGTAGCTCGTATCACGACCAATTTGCATGTTCTAAGTGTGTGCTCCTGCAAGCTAAAATGAGTTTTTGCACGTGGCTGCTACTCACTCATCACTATTAATTTCATACTGCCACGTGTAGCTCATATCACAAACGTGTTGCATGTTCTAAGTACGTGTTCCTGCAAGCTAAAATGAGTTTTTGCACGTGGTTGCTACTCACTCATCACTATCAACTTTAAACTGCCACATGTAGCTCATATATCAGGACCGTTTTGCATGCTCCAAATAGTGGTTGCTGGCCACTCATTACTATCAACTTGATATACACGATCGTGCTATTTGTACTGCGGAAGACATGTCGCTGCAAGAAATATGATCCGTAAGTAACTTACCAAAACAACACTCATCACAGATCAAACAACATCATGCTCCCATAGTTCTAAGTCCTGCTGTTCGGGGCACTGTCTAAGTACCTGAATTTGGTTCTAAGTACCTATGTTCTAACCACTACTTAGAACAATCTAGCTGCAAATGGATTTCAGATTGTTTTTCCAAAAATTTCTAAGTAGGTGTCTATGACTATATAGTATTATATAGTGTATATATATATATAATTAGCGACGGACTTGCACTTCGAACATACATATATGTATGGTTCCCATTGGTTCCCCACTGGGATGTTCTAAGTATAGCTTGGAAATGTTCTAAGTATAGGTTTTGGGTATGTTCTAACTACTTTTTTTTGAACCTCATACTTAGAACATCCCCGCTGTGACGATTGGAAAATGATGTTCTAAGTATTTGTCCGTCGCTATAATATGTAGATATACACTTATACTTATATATGTATGCATAATATACAATATCTATCTATCTATATATATATATATACATACATCATTACATATGGATAGAACTAATAGAGGTCCACGTTGGGTGCCCAGCTGCAGTCTAAGGTTTCGTATTTGGTGCCACTGAGGTAGGGATAATTCCAAATGTCGCTGATCCCTCCTGAGCGATGATGCGAAAACGATGCAGGAAGATGTGTAGCCTACATCAAGCAAAGCGCTAAAAATAAGGACAGAAATATATAAATAAATAGTCAATAAATATATAGAATGTATATACTGTAGTATAAATATACATATATATATATATACGATATACACAGTAACATACATATATATAGATACATGCATTTGTATATATTTTATATAATGTGCACATATATATATAATGACATATATATATAATGACATATATATATATATAATGACATATATATATATATATATATATAATCACACATATATCATATATATATATAATGACACATATATCATATATATATATGTATGCTCACCCCCCCAGAACCCCCCCGCATGTTGAGCAAACAAATGTTTCATCAGCTCTTGGTCTCTGCATAGCACAATTGATGTGTTTGCAGAAAGCAATGCTAGTGATCTAAACTGTATATTGATGTTCTTGGGGGGTGACGATATATATATATATATATCATATGTATGAATATATATATATTTATATTCATATATTCAGCAAATTATTGGGGAATCATGAATGTTGGCATGGATCAAGGCATTAAATATTTCAACAAACACATGCAAACAAAAAAATACCAGCCCATCTAAATGTTCTTCCTACCCGGAAGTTCAACAAAAAATCAAACATGTGAAAAGCTTGGAGGATAAGGGTGAAACAATGAGCCTTGGTCTGTGACTAAATCCAGCCTGTAGTCTTGGGACTGGCATGACTTCAATGTGTGTTTTTCCACCGAATTTTGGGTGATATCTCCATGTGTCCATGACAATTCCACTCATGTGGGATCCAAAAAGCCAATGTCATCAACCATTTTCAATAAGGCGTATTATGTATATATATATATACATGTATGTATGTATGTATGTATGTATGAATGTATGTATGTATGTATGTATGTATGTATGTATGAATGTATGAATGTATGCATGCATGCATGCATGCATGCATATATATATATATATAATACATCATAATACCTATATCCTCATGGGTCCCATAAACTCCACCAAAAAAAAAGTCCCAAACACCAACCTCTCCATCTTAGATAAATCAGTGCCTTTTCGTCCTGGTGATCCGAGTGATCCCAAGTCTGATTCGTGACATCCATCTATTCTATCTGAACTTCAGGATGACTACGGTTGTAATAATGTATAATAATTATATAATATTATATATATATTTATATATGGCAATATATGGTGATATTCTAGGCTTGCGATGGGATGATCTTCGACTCGCAACGACCAGGCCTTGATTCTCGATGTATTTGAAGGCCAGCTGCGAAGTGGCTCCCGTGCACCCGCCGCTGCCGCCGCAGCGGCGCACGTTGGGTGTGCAGGACGTGAGCTCCTGCGAACGCGGCCCGTGGCAGACGTGGCCCCTGGCGTTTCTGGGGCACGGATGGTGTTTTTGGTGGAGAATGTTGGGATTTGTTTGGCAATTCTTGGATGTGTTTTTTGTGATTTCAGCGCATGAACATATGGTTGTTTTCGTCACTTGAAAGCTGGGACTTCACTCATGAACTTTGCGATATGATTCACAAATACTTGGTTTTTATCCATCTTGGTGGCTTCCTCACACCTTGCAAAATGCTGACAGGTTTCAATGGGATATGTGGGATTGATTCGCAGGGTTCTGGCCAAAACAAATAGATCGGGGCAAGTGAAGAGTGGGTAGACACAAGCACCAACCCCAAAAAAGAAGTACGACTACAACCAAGAGAAAAGGGAAATGCTAAGCGTTCTCCCCAAAAATGTGAATGTGAGCATCTGAATAAGCTGTCTATGCTGTTTGTGTTTCGAACGTTCGCAAGGGTAACAAGGTGCCATGATCAAAACCCTGATTCTCAACATCATGGGACTTTCCACATCTTTCCACAAGTTCTTTTTCAGCAGTGTCCTTCTGAAAAACACAATCACGGTCTTGGGTCCAAGCTTTATGACATTTCTAGCATGAGCTGATCAAGATTCAGATCAAAAATGAGCCACCCTAAGCCAGAATTTCGGAGGGCCTGCCAACTTAGTTAACATAAATCAGCCATAAATCCCATGGTAAATCAGCCCCACTCCGCCGACACTCAGCCCAAACCAAGATGGACAAGTGCAAACTGTACAAACTCTGATGAATTGATGAAGATGTAAAACTAAAAGTGTCAGATCCAACGATTGTATCATTCAAATTGTGCCTTCGAAATAATAAAGCGAAGTTTGAATCACACTCTAGGCCTCTGTTCAAGGCAAACATAAACCCCGAATTGAAATGATGGTAGTTGATTATACATATTCTCGGTAAGTCACTGGGTGTTGATGATTTTGGTATACCCCACTTACTCGGCACGAATCTAAGGTTGCTCTCATGTTCAACAAGAGTTGAAGGGTCGACCTTGATCAATCCTGAGTCTGAGAGGGTAGCACTTTCCATGCACTGCTGAGTCATAATTCTCCCTCTTAAAATGATAATACGGTATTCGGTATCCTGTTTGTTTAGTGAGAATATAGGGAAATTGAACTATCAGTACTATAGTATTTCGTCGAAAATGTGGTAGTCACTATGGATTCTCAAAAAAGTACTATCACAATTCTCCCCAGTGATGGATCAAAAACCTGATGTCCCGGTATGTTCATAGAAATCATGAAGAAACAGCTGATATAGCTGATATATCTGGATGTTCGCCATCCCTAAGATATTTTGTATATTATCTACATGTTGAACCAAGCCCACAGAACATATATAAGGGTACCCCCCCAGTAGATCAACATAGAAACGGCAAAAAAAAAGCCGAATTCAACATAGTTTGGCTAGGAATAAACCATGCTTGTATTCGAACAGAAGCTGCAGGGCAACTCCCCATAAATTTCCCTTTCAGTCTGTCTATCCTCAATTCTCCATTGATCCATGGACTACCAATTACGTGCATTCACTGGCAATAAATTAGCTAAGTATCACCAATTAAATGCCAGGAATGCCGCAAAATATTGGTGTATACAGTGTATATACCCTCTGGTAATCAAGAATGGCCATTGAACAATTTGAACCATTCACCATGTATAGTTATTATGTCCCATGAAAATCTCCATTTAGATGTTTTTTTGATAAACATCTCAATATAGAACAATTCACCAAACTACAGCTATTATTTTATAGTTCCCCTTAAAACCATTCAAAACCTCTATTTATAGTTTTTGTATTTTTTTTTTCCATGGTGTTCCCATGATTTTCCCATGGTTTACCGGTAATTGCCATGTTGACACCGGAGACCTCTGCTGAGTTTCCTGAGGAGACAGGGACAAGAGAACGCCCGTCTGGAGCGCCACGCGACTCTCCTCAGGGAACCGCGACCAAGTCGTTATGGATTTTCCAGCGGAAGTCAAAGGGAAGAATTCCCCATATGTTTGTGATCCAACTGGTTACCTGGTAGATATCCATAAAACTCCTGGTTAGGTTACCATATGTATATGATATCTCTGGAAAGCAGATAGATCTGGAAGAATTCAGAAGAAAATCAACATAGGTATCATAGGTTAACTGTGGATACGAAAGACAACATATCTTTTTGTGGGTTGAACTTCCAGTAACATAGATTTGGCGTTCCGCATCTATGTTAAATTCTGGAGGGTGGAAATCACAATAGATGTACTTATATGGGACATTCAATCCAACAAAAATACTGGGAAGCAAAGATTGAGCGAGTTTACCATTGTGTACAGGAAGTTGATGTCACATGGGGTTTTAAACAATAATGCATCAGAGTTTAACATCTATTGACCAATAGCATGGGTTATTGTTGATTGGCAATTGTTTGTATCAGACCTTAACCGCCTTAACCATCCGCTCTTGGCTCTAGTCATCCCTAGGTTTCACCACGTTGATCTCATGTTACGGCTGTGTTTACACAGCGTTTTTTCCCAATAAAAATGTGGTTTTCCTATTAGTTTTGTCCCTTCATCAAAGTCCAGGATTATTTCCATAATCTACTATTTCTGTTTCCATCTGGTTATGACTCGTTATGACTAACATAGCCATGGTATAGATGGCCCATTTATAGATGGTTTACCTATTAGAAATGGTGATTTTCCATGGCTACGTGAAATAACCAGAGGGTAATATTGGAGCGTGTTTTATCAATGAACCAACAATTAAAAGAAATAGTAAATCCTGGTGATAATTGGAAATCCTGTGAAACTGGTGAAATATATCTACATAATTATTATGGAAATCCTGGTGAAATATTAGATTAATGTAATCCTGGTGATTTCCAATGTCATCCTGGTGACCTTCTCAAGTTTGCTGCCTAGCGATCTCCGCAAGTGGCAAGTGCGTCTCGCTCTGTGGGTCTGTTGTTCTTTTCTTCGATGGTAGTGCCCCCAGTGATAAACCATATTAATCCATATTAATCCATATATCTATAATATCATGATGCTGTTAACCCCAGATGGTACGCATTCGGAAATTTTAACAATTTAAATGCTTATATTAATCTACACCCACAATATTCACATTATACATTAATGTCCCATGAATATCCCCAATTCTACCCCATAAATGGTTTATGACAAACAAATAACTCATATTGATACCCTTTATATTTTTCTGGGGTATAGTATTATGATGCCCGGGATGCATCCAGCCATCAACCCATGTTTATATCCCATATTATCCCATTACATCTTAGATCCCATTCTGTTCACCTTAGCAAAGATCCCATGTTGATATCCCCATGGGTTCAACATCAACCAAACAGTTTGCCCATGAGTTTAGCATCCATTTTACCATCCTGTTTTTTTTGGTCAAATGGATGGTCATTGACCGTGTTCATCCTCGAAGAGAAACGCCTGGTCTCAGAACATCTTCGTACTGGTGAATGTCTCATCCCACATCTAAGACTTGAAGAATTCCATTGAGAAGTGGTTGACTATAGTAATTCACTAATTCATAGTGCTGGGTAAATTATAGTAATACACTGTGCTGGGTAGGTAATACACTGAGTAATACACTGTGCTGGGTAAATTATAATAATTCACTAACCTGAATAGTTCGGCCTTTTGGGGATGATTCCCCTATAAACTATGATTCCAGGTTTCGGTCGCAGTGAGGTCGTTATAATTTACCCAGACTGTGGATGTGAGTTTCTGACTGGTTGTTCAGTAACTCACTAAGTCGTTGAGCAAGCGATGTCTGCATGCCAACCCATCATCTCTTCCACGTCCGAAAGACTAGGAATGTCTTTCAGAAAAGTTATCACACAGCAAGTGGATGTCATTGAAAATGGAGAAATAGGAAAATGACGGTTTGAGGCAGGTGGTGCTTTGAATGGGCGCTTGAACCCAAAAAAAGGATGTGTGGATGTCTTCAACCGATGCTGTATGATGCTGTCCATCAACTAGTTGAGATGCCATGATAATCAGACCACCTTCATGACCTCCAATCAGCTGACCACCGAGGGATTCCCGCACATGCACATGGTTTGGAAGACCCTATCTGCAGTACATTTCTTGGGTCACTCCGACCATTTTCTCATCATTTGTTCCATCATTTTCCAATCATTTTCCAATCATTTTCCCACCATTTTCCAATCATTTTCCCATCATGGTCCCGCCATTTTTTTCACCATGTTCAAATCATTTTCCCACCATTTTCAAATCATTTTCCCATCATGGTCCCGCCATTTTTTTCACCATGTTCAAATCATTTTCCCACCATTTTCAAATCATTTTCCCATCATGGTCCCACCAGTTTCCCACCATGTTCAAATCACTTTCCCATCATTTTGCCATCATTTGTTCCGTCATTTTCCCACCAGTTTCCCACCATGTTCCCGTCATTTTGCCACTCTTTCCCCATGAATTCACCAAAACCAGGCGACGATGACCTCCGCAGCGGCAAAGGCCCAGCAGCTACCACAGCCTGGTGACTTCCGTCGAGACGAGACGAGGGATCTCCCAGCCGAGTGGGGAAAATGATGGGAAAAACCATAGTTAGTTACAAGTAAGAGGGTAACATAAAGTTTAGGTTACTACATAGTTAAGTTACTACAAGTTACTACAAGTTAGTCATCCATAGTCCATATTAAGTTAATGGTTTAGTTATTGGAGTTAGTTACCCTCTGGTAAACGTTTACAAAACTATGGAAAGATCCACCATTGTTCATGGGACAATTCACTATCAATGGTGATTATCCATAGTTAAATTACCAGAGGGTATATGAACTGGGCTATGAATGCTGACATTGACATCAGATCACCATCTATTGATCTGCTCAAATATGGAATGTTAGCCCAGGGAATTCAACCAAAACGCATTCCGTTCCTGTACCGACAAATTGAACGCCTGACTGCAACAAAAAACACAACCCTCTGGTTATGTCAAAATAGCTATTGAAAATGACCATAGAAATAGTGGATTTTCCCATTAAAAATGGTGATTTTCCATAGTTTTTTGTATGTTAACCAGAGGGTAGTGTACCCCACCTCTTTGGGACCCCAACCTTGGGCCGTTTTCATGGATCCCTCACATTCCACCAGGGTTTAAGAATGCAAAATGCTCAATAAACCAATGTTTCGGATATCCCCAAAGAATCTGTATCATCTGTATCTATATATATATATAGATAACATTAGATAACCATCAAACTACGATGAGGTCAATAAGGTCGGACCTCAATGGTTGCCCAAAAAACAAAGAACCATTTGAAACCATGAAATTCTTGGGAAACCATGCCCCATATTATGGCCCCATATGCTTTATTCGTACCAATGTCCACTAGTCACTCGTCTTAAATACTATTGTTCTTACAACTTCGTTAAAATGCATAGTCCAAGATTCTCATAGATTCTCCAAACATATGCTGGTTGGTGGTTGACCTACCCCTCTGAAAAATATGAGTTCGTCAGTTGGGATGATTCTTCCCAACTGAATGGAAAAATAAAAGCCATGTTCCAAACCACCAACCAGAAAATCATAGGAGAATGGGATTCAACAGATGGCCCATAGAAATAGTTGATTTACCGAACTTAAAGATGGTGAATTTCAATAGCCATGTAAAGGTTTACCAGATGGTAAAGCAACCAAATCAACCAATCATTACATAAAAAATATATATCACAAGTTTCAGTATAATTGATCCCATCCACCGTTCATGTTAAAAACAACAAACAACTTGGAGATTTCTTGGACATTTCTCGAAAGATCCGCAACGCCACGGGTGAGCATCCCAAGCCTCCTTGACCTGAGCCCACGGGTTAGATCGGTTAGATGTTCTCAAACATGGTGGAACATGAGGCAAAAAACCTGAGAAACATGTTGGAAAATACCGGAAACATGAAGAGTTCATCAGCAAAGATCTGAAAAACATATGGGATTTTCGTCCAAAAAAAACATGGAAATATGGAGAAGAACGCAAAGAAACACACATATTCTGAGATGCTCCTGACTCACCAGCCATCACCAGCAGCCAATCATGTCAGGGCCCCCGTGATTCCCCCATTCTGACAATGGCATTGGATGATAAGTCTCTGGTTATGACTAACATCGCCATGGTTTTACGATGGCCCATAGAAATAGATGGTTTACCGAACTTAAAAATGGGTGGATTTTCCATGGCGAACTGTTAAATCACCAGAGGGTAAGTAGATTCATGTTCAACATCACTGAAAGAAAAGACGGTATGATGTACCAATCATATCCCAATCGCTACCGCATCATAAACGGAAAAAAAAAACACGTTGTTGGTGAAGTATATTCCCACTTAGTTAGCGGAATAAGTTGCATACCCACAAACCCTGCCTATTGTTTTGGTCTACAGTATTTCATTCTACTTCAATTCCTTAAACCAAAATAAACCGAAAACAAAAAACAATCTACAGTAGAGATGACATCAAGAAATCATTGTATTGATCGAGATTGTTCTTGCTGAGGTTCCACAGACCCAAACTCTTGTTTCAACCACTACCAGTATGTGTCAGTTTTATGTGTGTTAATATATATATATATATTATAATATACATTATGCATCATTTCGTATCATTACATATCATTATATCATTATATTTATATAGATAAATATCATTATATAATTATATATAAATATATATCATTATATATATACATATCATTATTATATATATATATCATTATATATAAGTAAATATATTAATGATATATCATTATATACCATTATATGTCATTATGTATCATTATATACCATTATATATCATTATATATCATTATATATTATTATATATCATTATACATCATAATACATCATTATATATCATTATATATCATTATATATATCATTATATGTAATTATGTATCATCATATATCATTATATATCATTATATACACATTATATATCATTATATACCATTATATATCATTAAATCCCTTTATACATCATTATATATCATTACATATCATTATATTATATATATATATATGATTATATAAAATATTATATATATATATATGAATATATCTTTATATATAATTATATCATATATACACCAGTTGTTTACGTTTTGTTTGATCTTTTCTTGTATATGGGCCACGGTCAATATTTGGTATATAGCTCCAAGTCATAAGTTTTCGAAGAGTGTATTATCGTTTTTTGAAGAGCTATTTTCGTTGTCCAAGCCCCAGCTCAATTTCCAAAAAATAAAGATGTCTCGAATACTACTCTCCATTAACTTCACTGGTTGGTGTTGACCTACCCCTCTGAAAAATATGAGTTCGTCAGTTGGGAGTATTCTTCCAAACTGAATGGAAAGTCATAAAAGCCATGTTCCAAACCACCAACCAGCTAAATTTTGGCTGCTCATATCACCCTCACCATGAGATTCCCCGTGCTACTGAGGGACTCTTCACGGGTGACACCACGGAGGGCGTATGTTTCCGCCAGTCCAGCGACTCCGGCAAGTTCGGCTGGCTCCTCCGTCAGTGAAAAACATGGAAATATAGCTGGAAAATATATGGGAAATCTATGGAACATATATATAATATATGGCAAATATATGGCAAATATATGGGACATATGTGAAAAATGTGGGAAATATCTGGGAAATATCTGGAAGATATGGAAAATATCTGAAATGATAGGAAAAATATGGAAACATATCTGGAAAAGATGGAAAATATCTGGAAATATTATGAAACACATGGGGAGATCGGGGAGATCTCTGGAAAATATATGGGGAAAACAATGGGGAATAGAACATGAATAAGATTATCGTTTGAAGATCAAGTCTAATGCAAAATCCCATAGAGACCTCCAAAAAAAGATACCCTTCAAGGGCTTCTGAAAAGAAAATCCATGAAAATCCAATGTAATCCGACATTTTTCTCACACTATCAACATGGTATTCCCATCCAAAGCTGTGCGTTTCTTCTTTTTTCGGGATCCAGTTGTCAGATCCCCGGTCTCCTACCACCTCGAAGCTGTGGCAGTGGCACCGCCTCTGTCGCCAAGGTACGGAACCAACATCACGGGGGGCAAAGAATATGGTAGGTGACAAGAAGCCAGGTACTTATAATAGTTTCTATTCACCATCTTGACAACTCAATAGCCTATAATTATTATATCATAATTATATAATATATAACTATATATATATATTATGTGGTGTATGCCCTGGAAGTGGTTGTAACTATAGTTGATTACAATGAATAACCACTGAACCATCCAGTGTCGTTAAAATGGCCATGACGATCCTGGGGGGAAAAGGTCATTGTTAGGACACGAGAAGCCATCCAGTTTTGAGATGTCTTGGGTGTAAGTTTGAACTACCATTTGGTTATTTAACAGTTCGCCATGGAAAACCCACCCATTTTTAAGTTCGGTAAACCATCTATTTCTATGGGCCATCTATACCATGGCTGGCATCCAAAGTAGAATTTCCATTGCTACATTTGATTTCCACATTCGAGGACTCAAAAGGTGGTTTCTCCGCTGGTGAAACTTATGGGGATCCCGCCCGCATTGGGTGGTCAGGCAGTGGTCAGGTGTTTAAACATTTGAATAGGTCTTGTTCCATGCCCATTTAATCCCATTTACAAGTTGCCGTCAAGAAGAAAGATATAAAAAGATGCTACATCCGCACATTTGTATAGTTTATACATCTTCATAGTACCGTGTTTTGTTGGTTTACTAGTGGTCATCACCAGCATCTTGACTCAAAAACCCAGACTAAAATACCGAATCATACTCTGTCCCAGTTGGTTGATGTTGATCCCTCCTACTTTTTGCGGGGAAAGTGATGATAAAACATGGGAAATTGGGCCCAGTTGTTTTCTCATGTTTTATCATCACTTTCCCATGTGGCCTATTGAGGGATCAACCAACTGGCCTATCCGAGATTTGCTGGAAGAACCTCAATTTCTTAGAAACAGTTGGAACAAACATGCAGGGACCTGATAGTTAGAGTTCTCCCTCGAATTTGATAAACACACCTTTTGCTTGATAAATTCCAATTGTTTGTTAGTGTGATGTAAATAATTACCAATCTGACCATGTTTTATTGGCTCAAACCTATTCTATTTTGCTCAATTCCCCCTTCAGCCAACCCATTCACAAATATTAATATACAATAACAGTAAGTCCATGTTTCCGACAGTAAATTCCCAAGTTTTCCGTTGTTTTTGGAAAACAGACCATTCTCCCTTAAACCAAGCCATTCATAGTAGTACATCCCGTTTTCTCTTGGGATTTTTCCGGTTTTTTTTCGGTTACCCTCTGGTTGTTTAACGTAGCAAAGTGGAAAATCACTATGTTGAAGAGCAAAATCATCTAACATCATATAAAATGATCTAGAATTAGAAATAGGCTCTTTTATCCATGTTCATCCATTTTCCATATGTCGCTCTGTTAAATGACCCAAAGGGTGGTGATTTTCACCCAGCCCGCCTCTGCAGACACTGCCCCCTGCAACTCCTGCCATCCCCATCTGGTGGCAATATATCGATTTGGGAATTGTAATAGATGATCATATATGATACCCTCTGGTAAATAAACATAGACCCTGAAAATAACCAATGTTTAATGGAAACTAATCTTCCAACCCCGAAAAATGGCAAAGTCTATGTTAATTTACCAGAGGGTAATATATGATATAGATGGTAAATTACATACAAATATATGGTTTTCTTGACACCAATCACTAAATTTACCGGTCAAATACATGACAAATTAATCATATACTGTATCTGATTGGTCATTGGCCATGATTAGCAATGATAATTGGTTGTTGACAAATTCTTACGCCATAATATAGGGATAAACACTGTAGATCTTGGTTAAATGCTGAAACTGTAGCCTGTGGCTATGTCTTTAGCCAAAAACTCAGAACAAACAACTCTCGAGAGGGATGATGTTCAAAGCACCGTGTCCATCCTCATCTACAATCTCTAAAAGGACCTTTAGGTCAATTCCCACATAACATGCATATGTACATTATATATATATATCGTAGTATTTATTATTATTATTAGTAGTAGTAGTAGTACCATTAGTATCGTTAGTAGTGTTATTATTAATTAGTGTTAGTATCATAATAATTAAAATTATTGTTATTATGTATTAAAACAAAAAAATATTATCATTGTTAATTATATTATTATATATTATGGGATTAGTAAACAATAGCTGTAGCTACCTTTGTTTTTAAACATAGTCATCCATGGCTAGGCCATGCTTCCTTTGGTTCCAGCTTCAACAACAAAATCTATCACCATCGTCACCAGACCTCAAAAGGCTCAGGTTATGCCGTTGATTTTGAGGTGAGACCCCGGGTTCGGTTGCCTGAAATGGGGCTGAAATGGGCTGAATCCCAAACGTCCCGTTGAGTTCTCTCCTTGCGATATCCTAAGCGTTGCTTCAACTCCTCATTTGTGAGGTCCGTCAAGTCGTTAAAGCCTGCCATAAAGAGAAAGCTGGGGCCGGGCACCGTTGGGGTCCTGAATTTCATGGCTACAATGACGATCAACCATGGGATCCTGGGATACTGTGATACTTCAAACAAACCAGAATGGGTCAACGCCCTGAGAGATTCAAAAAAGATGGCACCTAGAAGAAACCCAAGTTTTGACCAACACAATTTAGCGATATTTGCCAAATAGTACAAAATGAGGTTTGCGACCAAGATTGTGGATTGGTTTTGCTGCTTAGTTGATGTGGATTCACTGTGATTGAAATCCCACCAGAGTTAAACCCTAAACAGTGGTCATGCATGGTTCAAACGAAACTTCCACGTCCATCAACTGGAAGGGCTGGTTCTTGCTGTACTCTTCCCATGCATGTGGATAAATTGCAATTATTTACCAACCTTAAATAAGCTCAGTTTGGGATAGTTGCACCTACTAACCATCGTCTATGTATATAATATTTCATAATCACATCGCAATGAGATTTTTCCAAAATTATCCAGCCATATAAATGTATACTATTGGTTCTGGACGACTCAAAAGTACCCAAGTTCCGCCGTTCACTGCCGAACTCAAGTTGAAGCCATGGCAACATCCGAGTGTTGAAGCCATGGCAACTGGTGCATCCAGTCATCATCCTTTCTTTGCATAGGTATCCCCAAAGCCAGCGGTGAATCATGAATTTCCATGTTAACCCAATTTTCCAGAGGTATACCCAATTGCCAGGTAGTATACACAGCACCAGGCAGTTTATGGAACCCTTAAATTTCCCATTAAAACTGACTTTGCAGAGGTATACCCCATTTTCAGACACAGCCATCTGTTGTGAAGGAATGATCGGATCAAGGGTATGAAGCCGCCACAGCCATGGCAGCTGAGATTGAGATGCACATGGCTGTGGACAACTAACACCATAGGAACATGTCGTCTTTCCTTGTTTACATGTGTTCCACTTCCTACTGTAGATGCTCCATTTCTGTGGTCCACCATGATTTTTTTTGCAAAGGATCCCCCTGAAATGGCATAAAAAACGCGATGCCAACTAAGGCAAATAGGGTTTGTCTATGTTTGTCTGAAAATAGGATCATTCCCACCATTATGTCCAAACAATGTTTAATTTATCGCTCTCCCCATTAGAATTGCCATTTTGGCGTAAATCTACCATGTTGAGGTCCACACCCAAGTCATATTGTTGGATAGTTGTATCAGGTATATATTATCCCATTGATGTCTCGTTTATCTCCTAATGTCAACCCTGGATGAATAAACTCCCTAGGCTGTTTAATTGGGAGGATACCATTTAAGTATCAGATTATGACTATTGGAGGAGTACCACCCTAATTAATAAACCATGGTTTAGTCTCATCCGGGGTTGACTCCTACTGGTTGGTGGTTTCAACCCCTCTGAAAATACTAGTCAATGGGAAGGATTATCCCATATATTATGGAAAAAAAATGTTTGAAACCACCAACCAGCCTATTAAATTTATTCCATTCATGTCCACTTCATAGACATGTTTCAACTTGCTTCAATGGATCCGTCCTGAGGGTCGCGCGCTGCTGCCCGCGCCTGCTTTCCACGTCGTGCCTTTGGCATTCTGCGCGGCAATCTCTGCGGCCCGTTGCTCGAAGATGGATTTTCGAAGCAAATACCTAGCGAAATTCGGCGAAGGGGACTTGCTGAAGGAAACGTCAACTCCCTTCGCAACATGGAAATTGGACATGTCTACTATTTATATCTATTTATTATATTGCATAATGTTCAGATTTGATTGGTAAACTCTATCAATGTCCCTAATTTATATATGGGGATCTCACCACTAGAAAACATGGCCGTTTAATCAGGATTTTGTGTCTGGTGGCGCTCATGTTGTCAGCTCTTGGTGGTTAACCAACGGACCTTTCGTGGGTTTTGGTTGGACATGTAATCAATGGCCATTTCAGGGACCTATATTGGAGGTACCTACCATATATAAGGCCTATGTAAGGCCTATGTAAGGGGAAATCCCAGCAAAATATGGCCTTATATGGTACAGTACCTCCATTTTAGGATCCTGAAATTCCCATTGATGTAAGTTGAGCCTGCTACTCATGTGGGGTTGGTTCAGGAAGCCTACCATCTGGTGTGCAAAGGGCCAGGAGTGAGCTAGATGGCATGTGTTGACAGCTTATCGTCCGATGCCACCCCATGTTTGGCTGCCTTGTTGATGGGTTGCCCACCAAAGGTCCAACTGTCCCGGCCCAGAGCGAATAGCCCACCGCTATCTGCAACCCTGAGGCTCATCTGCGTCCTCATAGTCCTGTGTCCAGGCGCAGTGATGGGACCCTCCTTTGATGAAGCTTAGTAGGGGCCCCAAGTGCAACAGATCAAACTGTTGAGTACCCAAAAGGTGGATACTTCAGATCTCAAAAAAATGTCCAGTCAACCAACCCCCAAAGGAGTGACTGATGACTGATGTGATGTATATTGTTCAACAACAGATTGTGCCTTTCAGAGGACCCAGTCACGTAGATTAACGTTGTAAAGATCATATACTGATACTCATCCATAGATATGGGTGAAACAAACAAAGTCTCACTTCCAGAAATTAATCTGCAGGAAGAGCCACATTTCGACCAGAAACCCCAGTCAGAACTGTTCCAACCTTCCATCAAATCAGGTAGTGCAACCAAATCTGTAACCACAGAATTCGACTCAGGGCAATTCCCATGAATTTCAAACCATGGTGTTCAACAGAAATATCCGATCAAAACACATGTATAACTCCATATCTAGCCATGAACCAACAACAACTATCAACGGGCTCACTGCTCACTTGAGCGTCTCCACGCCTTTCCAAATCGGTTGCAGTAGTCTTCAAAACTCAATGCCTTTGCAGAAACCGCTCGCTGACCCATCCGACCCATTGGGAATGCAACCTTGCTGTTCATCCCGATGACACCATGACCATTACCAATTATCCTATGGATGGATCAACACCACTTGCGATGGAACATGGCTGCTAAATTGTCAACAAAGCAAGCTGCAAAATCGCAAAACCAAGTGCAATGAACCACAGCCACAGCTCGTTCAACGGAGACCGGGACCGTGCCACCTAAAACATCAAGAACAATTCCATTCTGCACTTTCCGCCAAACTTTGTAACTCATGATCTTTTGCAAAATCGGAACAGATTGCCAATGTTCATTGTGATTCCACCGTTCCGTCTGAACCACACGACAGAAGGTCTCCATGTCATGTTACTGGCTCCATCTTGCTGTGAGATCTCATAATCTGCCATTCAAAATCATTCAAATCTACAATTAAGATCAACTATCATCAACTATCTACTTTGGAGATCTTTGGAGCATCAGCCTAACCACTGACCACATCTCCTCTACTAGATCCCTAGTCCTTGCTCCGTCGCGGTCCCCACGCCTGCACCTTGCTGAGGGCGAACAAACCCAAAATCTTGAACATGGCGCCACACCTCAAAATTGGACCGGGCCGCCGGTAGGGGATGATAAGTCAATTGTGCTACAAACACACAACTCTTGCTTGTGCTAAACGTAGGGAATGAGGGAATGATCCACAATAACCATCAATAATAATCCCAGCAACCCCCATTTCCATCCATTCACCAACCATTGACTATGGTCTCCTAAGATTCACTCAGATTATGCATGATCATACCACATTTGAGTCACTTAAGCGAAAGCTCGAAAGGCAACACTCCAGACACCGCCTTCAAGGCAACTTATAAAACCGGTATGATTCTTGGATTTGGGGATCCATTGCAGGACTTTTCATCAATTGTTCTTCCATCATTTTCCGCCACGATCTGTACATTTTTAGACGCGACGAAACTCTCAGCGAAAGCCGGAGACGATTTGCTGTACAGTCTCCGGGAGATCATATCCAGCCAGTGACGCCGATCGCAGGAAACAGGTGGCCCAAAGGTCTAAGCAATCTGAATCCTGGGGCTGCGACAAAAAGAAACCACGGTGCAAAAAGGCCGTGTTGAGGCATGCGATGGCCATCCTTTTTGGAGGTTCTATGTTGAACATTGTTGAACTCAATGTGAGTGAATTTCATATGTCTTGCGAGATTCTGAGAGATCATGGACACTTGCTGCGTGTCAGGATCTGACGCTATGTGAGAGCCTGTTTTGGGATGAGGTGGGATGAGGCATGTTTTTCAAAAGAGCCGTTGGAGATGCTGTGCAGCATCTTGTTGGAGATCCCATAAGTGATCCAGATCTCAAATATCGTCCCCATTGGATCCCAATTCGCACATCAAAAAGCACCATATTTTCATGTGAAATCCCATATTTTTGCCGTTGATTTTAGCCTCTGGTTATGACTAACAGTTTGCCATGGTATAGATGGTCCATTTATAGATGCTTTACCGTTTACCTATTAAACATGGTGATTTTCCATGGCTATGTTAAATCACCAGATGGTAACATATGAGTTTCACCCGCAAAAACGTCCAGCGTCCACTTTCCGTAGCAACTTGCTGTTGGGTGCAAAGCGACCCAACTTAGCCCCTCGCGCCAGAAGCATCCTCAGAGCAAAGGGCCAGGGCAGCCGAATCAGATGATTTAACTATCAACAATGGAGATTTCACTCATGAACAATGGAAAGCATGTTCTTTTTAACGATGTAAGCCGCTAAACCATGATAAACATTGATAAATCCAATAACCTCCATACCTGCCATATCAATCCGTTTGAAGTGGCATTTGGTCCATTTCAAAGCTTGTTTTTTGGGAATTCGGGCCTGTTAATTATTAACCATCTTTCTACGATTGGTGCAGGCTTTCTAAACAGAAAGACTGCCATGGATCCCCCGAATATGATCATAAGAATCAGAAGACTACAGTATCTGGAGCTCAATGTTGTGTGATACAGTGATACTGTGGATGGAAGAAATCTTGCACCAGTTGATAGGTGGTAAACATCCCATTATTTATAGGCTTTCAACCATCCAAGGTGGTGCAGGATTTCTTCCATCCACAGTAGTTTCGGCCATATATCCGGTACATTGGTTGGTCCCAACGACTGCCATTTTGTTTGGGAAGAGGCGTCCAAATTATAAGTTGGTTTATAATTCCATTGAGTATAGAAGTATCTACCATAAACATCCATAAACATTCATAAACATGCATAAACATCCATAAACATCCATAAACATCCATAAACCATAGTTGACCTAGGTATACCTATAGGTATTACCTAGCTAAAGCAAAGGAATTGTAGGAACCCATGCACCAAGGCGCTTGATGCAACACTTGTGTTCTCTGCCCAGCACGAAGCCGGGATAGCGTCGATCGAAGATCTCCTCTCCAAGGGCTTGGATGCCGCGGCACAACAGCTGCTGCACCCGGCTGCAGGCTCCTGCAGCCGGCGTGAAACACGGGAGGATGAGATGACCGGAGTGACCGCCTTCAGAAACAAAACATGTAGGGAAGGTCTAGTTCATAGCACTTTAGTCATGTTTTTGTTATAACTATTCTATCTTCTAGTTATCATTATGAGATGAGTGGGCTCAATGTTGAGTTTCAATGTTGAGTTTTTCTTTGTTGATGTATAGACATGTATGCACTCTCTTACGCGGACATAGAGTTTGTTTTGGGGGGCTGCTTGTGGTTGTCGATCAGGGAAAACGCGCATCACATAGGGCTCACCACTGGGCTAGTCACTGTTTCACCTTTTCAACCCCCGCCTCATGTCAGGATCTATGTTAATTTGGGGGAGTCAAGTCATTCATTCTTTTCTGAAACATTCTGAAACTAGAAGTTTGGGAAATTCACCACCTAGATGCCCTCCCTGGCCACCCCATGTACAAGGGGGGGAAACTGGGTAGATGTCGTAGATAAAGAGGTCAGATTGGCCATCACTTACTGTGGGGAAGAAATCCTACACAAGCTTCTAGATTGTGTATCCCATTATTTCATCCCCAATAGATAGTGATGCGAATCTGAACCATTATCCCATTATGATTCTCAGTGTTTCATAGTTTCCAATAGTTTCCAATAGGTGTCCTGCGAAAGCTGCCTGTCTCACCTCAGCAAAGCTCAGCTGCTCCGGTGCGGAAAGAAGCGGCACAACATCTGCCTGGGCATGGGGAGATGTTTGACCAGCAATAGGCCTATGCTTGCTTTCCAAAAATGGTGGTACCCAAAAATGATAAAATGGATTATAAATTATATAATATATATATATAAAATGGATGGTTTATAGTGGAAACACCTCTTAGAATCGATGATTTGGGGGTACCATGTTAGGAAACCCAAAAATCTGAAAAAATGTGCGCTTTGGTCACGCGGCAATAGGGGAATGAACTCATCAAAATGATGATTTCACCAATGGGACGTATAGTTACGTGGCTTTCGTGGCTTATGGTCATCCATTCCATGGGGATCCTTCAACATCATGGATGTTTTTTAAATCCCATGAAAATGGTGTTCAAGGCAATCCCACAAGATGGGAATTACCCGGCCTGGTAAACATACAAAAAGCTATTGAAAATGGCCATTTATAGTGAGTTTTCCCATTAAAAAATGGTGATTTCCCATAGTTATGTTAGTTTACCAGAGGGTATTCCAATTTTTGACCATCGCAATATATGAATGTCGTTGGGATAATCATAAATTAGATACAATGGGGATATTTCATGATGAGGATCAAACTACTGGAATGATTTTCGGTTTTCCCATTTAAAAAAATCAACAAGCTCATTGCAAAGTTCCATGTTGGCAAGGTAATAAAAACTACCAGCCCAACCCATCAGCTGAGTTGGCTTGGTACTTTGAAGCCCCTGATTTTTTTTGTGTTGGGGATCATCTGCCCCCAACTAGCAATACAGAAGTCAGAAAAAAGTCCACCATCCAAGTCGCCCCAAGAATCTCAGAAAAACTCCAATCTTCACCAAGTGGGGATGGGTCAAAACCCTATCCCCCTGGTGAACATCAAAATAGCTGGTAAATGGATGTTCATCCCCCTAAAAATGGTATGTAGAGGTATTGATCCATAGCCAAGTCACTTCCACCACTTCCACCACTTCCACCACTTTCTCCACTTCATCTTCTGCATCAGCCTCTGCCTCTGGCGCCTCCGGAAGCTGAAGCTGCCGCCGCGCCGCTTCCTCCAGCAGCCGTTGCAGCGGCCTGGAGTAGGGCAACCATCGGTGCCTGGCCGTGCTGTTCTTCTCAACAGCCTTGGCGTTCTTGTCAAAGAACCAGGCAGTGCTCGAACTGCTGCCACCGCTGCCTGGATGGATCTGGTCATGGGAGAATCTCCCCAAACCGCAGACTTTTTCAAGGTGTTGTCTTAACTTCCGGATTGATCTTGATACACATCCCCAGTCTTTGATTCTACTGTAAGCAATAGACCAATTCAATCAATCTAGGGATGATTCTATAGTCATCCATGGCTACACTATCATGTGGTTAGGAAACTCTTAGTAGCTCCTTGGCTCCCCATTCAATAGGGAATATGGATAACAATATAGCTCCTTAGATCCTGTCTAATCACTGGAAGTATATTTCAAAAGGTTCAGTTGCTTGCATACTTCTGGGGAATGTCTGGCAACAGGCCATCCTTTCACCACGGTGCAGCTTACAGATCGTAGGTTGCCGGTGCGGAGGTTTCCTCCGTTGCTGGAAAGGGCTTGGATTCATTAAAAAAATGTGATGAAAGGGTCTGAAAGAGGTCCAAGAGGTCCATAGTTTGCGGGACCTCTTAGGCAAAAGGAAATCAATAAAATGATGATCGAAAAAAAAATGATTTGCTCAAGATGTTCCAAAACAGTTTAACATATTCCAAGTAGATTCCTGAAGCAATTGATGTACAAAAAGGGGAACTGACAAATGAAGATGTAGCATTCTCTCGACCCATGTTGTAGCATATTGGTGAGCAAATGAACACATCAGATTTAACAACTTATGAACAATTTATGGCAAGAATTGGCAAAAACAAATGAATGTAATCCACACACTACAATGGATTACAGCACTTCATGAAGAGCCGGGATGGAATTCACGACTTGACTTCCCAGTCTGCAGGTATTGAGTTTGTAGTCACGGCCAATGTGTGGACTGTACACCTTACCCCCGTAACACTTTGACACCCCAAAGGATATACCTCCAACTTCTCAAGTCATCGAATGCGGGTATATAATCCGTCTTTTCACCGGCACATGATTTGACATGATTTTGCCACCATAAGCTGCTACAGTATAACCTCTATAATTCCTTGAACTTTGAAATATGCCCCACTTGGTAAGTGGAACTTGTGCTAATTTCTTGCCAGTTTCTTTGCCGCATGTTCACCAAGTCCACCTCATAGTTTTCACCGTTGGGTGCAGTGAAGCGCACCTTGCCCTCTGCGACCTCTGTCTGCACTGGAGGTCTGGCGGAGGGGTAGCGAAAGAGCTTGCCCCGCCGCTCGCGCACGCGGCCGTGCTCTCCCAGGTCCAGCGACATGACCAGCAGGATGAAATCTGAAGCGACTTAGGCGACTTGATGCGACTTGGGCGGCTTGAGCCTTTCAGGCCTTTCAGGCCTTTCAGGAGGCAACACGTTGGCGTTTTGATCTTTTGGGCCAAGCTAGGCGAGTTGAAAAAAGAAATACAATTTTGGTCAATCTGAAACTGGGACACGTTTGTGACTGTCAAGGTTTGTGTAAGCAAATATTCACATATCCCATGACGGATCCATGGTGCTGGTATATATGCTAACATAAAGGGGGTATATTGATGGGATCCATGGCACACCATATATAGCAGCACCGTTAGGATCCGTCATGGGTATGGCATATCTGTCATCAAACCGAATCTGGACATCGGATGTCGTTTTTTCGGCGAGGCTCCAGGCACCTCTTGACAGGGCTCGCTATAAGCATTTTGTTTACGGGTGGTACTTTTGCGATTTGCGTGTGTGCTCCATGTACGGTGTATGTATGATATGTAATATATAAATATATATGTAATATATATATATAATGGGTCTGACCATGGGGTGTACCTCAAAAATTGCCATTGGAATAGGAAAAGGATGGAAAAGGATGGAAAAGGATGGAAAAGGATGATAAACCTGGGGAACTTATCATGGTTAGACAAATCCATGATATATTCACTACCACATTACCACCTGAAACACGTCCTTGTCATGTATATAGGATGTCCATCATGCCTTCCTCTGTGTAAGGCTCACCTTTCCTTTGGTCAAATCTCCGTTCTTTCGCCATTTAATATCATTCAATCATGTTCAATCCCCCAAATTGTTTCTAAGCAAACTACCATTTGAACCACATGTTGGATAGTTGCCCCAAATTCCCCAAATGTCACCCATCCCCCCAAAAACTAGACCTGAAATGGCCACAACCAGCCAAAATGTGCGGCCAAGACACCGCCGAGGCTCTACCGACGAGTTTTTCTATTGAATTTGACGCTGGGAACGGCAGAAAATGGTGGCAGGTGGGATGGAAAGTCGCTGTGTCTACTGGTATTTGGTGGGTCACCCCACTCAAGTGGGTTGTAACCACAATTACAATTGGACTACTGCAACTCTACTTACCTTACTTACAACTGGGGTTCTAACCTACCGACTGGGATGAGCCACCAAGTAGGTGATGTTCATATTCCAAATCTATTGACACGGTCATTTTCCGTTGCTATAATAGGTAATTTGAAAGTAGTAGGTGGAGGCCCTGAAAGCCAACGGCTGGAAGCTAAACGCTTCCATGCCGGGAGGGTCCGGTCCAAAACATCATCCTTATACATTGTTGAGGGGGATCACATATACAGAGTGTTTTACCCTCTGGTTATTTAACATAGCTATGGAAAATGGCCCATTTATAGATGGTTTACCTGGGTTTACCTATTGAAAATGGTGATTTTCCATGGCTATGTTAAATAACCAGATGGTAGTTATAGTCTTCGTATTTACCGCACTTACTGGTTTCGCTTTACGCATGTCTCGTCCCGAGAGGTGAAACCATGACACCTGGAGGTCTCTGCGATTGGTGTATGATCATGGCGGTGAGTGGAAAAGTTTGAAGGGACACCATGTTTTTGTCCACTCCTACACATACTGGTTGGTGGTTTCAACCCATCTGAAAAATATTAGTCAATGGGAAGGATTATCCCATATATTATGGAAAATAAAAATGTTTGAAACCACCAAGCAGCATATATCTTAATTTTCAACAAACTACTCTAGGCTGTCAACTATTGCCCATTCGTTTCTACAAAACCAGTGTTCTTACCTATAGCAGCGCCCCAAGACCGGGGTGGGAAACAAGAGAATCAATATCAGCTATTAAACAATTAACTGTGAGTATCAAATTACTATTAACTAAAACTGTTACATGTTTAATAGTAACTAAGATCATGTGTGTATATATATATATACAGTATATAATTATATATATAATACATACTGGTTGGTGGTTTCAACCCCTCTGAAACATATTAGTCAGTTGAAATTAACTATTCCCAATATATGGACAGTCATAAAAACCATGTTCCAAACCACCAATCAGCGCTGGCCTTCGGGCTCCTTGGGCTCTTCCTTGGGCCTCGAATCTTCGGGGCTCCCTGATTTATAGGGGCTATATGTAATTTTATAATGTCACTTTAATGCAATAATAAGGAGCCTCTGAAAAAATGGCATTGGCGTTTAATGAACCATTATGATAAATTGTAAGTTTAAGTTTCAGTCACTTTACTGCAATTTATAATGTGTTTGTTTATGGATAATCACAATAAACGATAAAGTAGAGATCATGAACAGATTTTGGAATGAGAACAACAAAGAAAAATGGGATAACCATCATACTCCATCTGATTTGGAATTAACGATTGAGTGTTAAGGAATATTAAGCATATATAATAATATAATATATACATATATATATAATACATATATATATACATATATATATACACATATATATATAATATATATACATATATATATATATACATACATATAATATATATATATATACATATATATATACATACATATATATATATATACATACATATGTATGTATATATGGAATAGGAAGACAATTGGGCCAACATTATGAATAGTTTACGTAGGATACTGGTCAATAGTTGAGTATCTGAGAATACTTTGGAAACATATTGGGTACCCCTTTGGACCAAGGGGGTTACTTCGAAAAGGTGGACCAAAATCTGTGGTACTGGCAACAAATCTGACCAATCATACCCAATTGTTGTTGTTGAAATGCCCATTTGTTTCCTTGGTTCACCTTAAATCCCTTCAACATCTGCAAAACTGGTACAGTAAAAAAACATAAAAATAAAAAATAAACACCATTAGGATTATGAGCCAGATTCATTGTGATTAACAATGATGAGTAATTATGATCAAGGAATCATAATCCTAATCATAATCATCATCTGGTTGGTGGTTTCAACCCTCTGAAAAATATGAGTTCGTCAGTTGGGATGATTATATATATATATATTCCCAATATATTGGAAAACTAAAATTCATGTTCCAAACCACCAACCAGTTACCCTCTGGTAAACTAACATAACTATGGAAAATCACCATTTTTAATGGGAAAATCCACTATAAATGGTCATTTTCAATAGCTATGTTAAATTACCAGAGGGTATTCATTAATCTTTAAAAAAAATACCGAAATCCTGGATTTTTGAAGTCCGGCCACGGAGGCTTCAAGGCTCTTTCCCGCAAGCGTTCCAAGGCCGCTTTCCTGGGGGCCGGTTGAGAGGTGGTAAACATCGGTTATCCTGGCATCCTCAAATGGTGCAGGATGGTAACGCAGCCACTGAATTTGATGGAAATTCTGGTTGTAGAACCTTGAAACATCTCTGGAAATAAAAAAAGAAACATTGGCCAGAGCCGTTTCCTTTTTGATTGCAAGAATCCGAGATGTGAGCTATCAAAATCCAACATATAGGAAGATTGTAATACCAGATTTGGTGATTGAAATCTATCCAAGCTAACTCCAGATCCAGGTTTGCAAAAATGCCACATTGATGTACTTAGAGATGATGTTCCCAATTAAATGCAAATTTATAGGGTATTTGATGGGATTTCCCATTGTCATGTTTGATTACCAGAGGGTATATCCCAATTTGTCCAACATTTCCAATGATTGCTGATTCACATCCCCTTCTTGTTGGTCAAAAGTCGGGTTCCCCAATCCCACACTGCTTTCTGATCCCGCGAGGGTTTTGATTCCACGGTCCACAGTCAACTGGATGGCAATCAACACAAAAAGATTCTGAGCATCAACAAAAATCAACAAAAATATGGCAAATATGGATTCTGACACTGAAGAAAAAGAACACTCGAGGAAATTCTGACGCTCAAAAGAATCTCAAAATTCTCACCATCATTGCAATATTGCGCATCATTGCGGGGGACCACGTCGCCATGGCGCTGTTTTTCGGAGAGCTTGGCATTCTTGGTGCTTTTGGAGTCCTGGTGGATGGGAATCCCCAAAAATTTAGGGCATATAATTCGCCAGGCACACAAGAGAAATATATGGAAGATCAGCATTTTGAACAGGTTAATAGTGGTTAATAGTGGTTAATAATGGTTAATAGTGGTTAATAATGGTTAATAGTGGTTAATAATGGTTAATAGTGGTTAATAATGGTTAATAGTGGTTAATAATGGTTAATAGTGGTTAATAATGGTTAATACTAGTAGTGTTAATAATGGTTAATCATGGCTGATAATGTGTTATAACTGGTTGGTGGTGTCTACCTACCCCTCTGAAAAATCATGGAGTTCGTCAATGGGTTCCGGATGACATCCCATGTATGACATGGAAAATAAAGGCCATGTTCCAGTCACCACCAACCAGATATATGGCTATGAGTCAAAACCCTGGTACCTAGTGAACCCCAAAATAGCTGGTACATGGATGTTCATCCCACTAAAAATGGTATTAATAGGTATTGACCCATACCCATATGTTTCTTCCCATGTTCATTTCCCATATTCCCGTGTTTTTTTCCCATGTTCTCAGTCCATCAACCAACCCCTATAAGATCATCATCGATCATCCATCAATGGAGCGTGGGATTCATGAGAACGCTCGTCCGATCTCATCGGAACACTTGACGTATCCCTACAAGGTGGTGCCCCCCAGATGTAAGTTGGTTCATAAACCATGGGAAGTATATGTAGACATATCATGATATATTTACCATAAACCATAGTTAGGTATAGTTAGTGGAGTTCTAGGCCATGTTCTTTTGAATTCATGATCAGAGGGCAGATTATACCCGTTGGTAATCAAACATAGCAATGGAATTACCCTGTGGCCCTGTACGCGCTTATGGGAGATTCATCCATAAATGTTCAATTGCCATGATTGATTACCGGCTACCGGAGAGTATCAGTCATATTGGATATACGCCAACACAAAAATCAGAGAAACATGGAACCACAAGGGACCACAAGACCATCAGTATGAAGTATATAGCTGTTAGCATGAAAAACATATATGTCGGACCATATGAACCACTGACAAGATAATTCCTGCACTGGCTACTGAACATGTTGAACCCCTTGTCCTCTGGATTCCTCTATGGTACGAGTTTCACAAGTCACGGTCTTCTTTAACCATACATTGGGGATCCCCAAAATGGAAATGTTCAATGGGGAACAGAATGATAAGCATACATAGCATACAAGTATTTTTCTGACAGGGTACCAAAAGGCACTTTGTATGGACTTCATGGACTCACTCAACCACCCGTAAAAAACCACCCGTGCACAAAAAAATCTATGGCCTTCTGCTCCTTTTGCTCCTTTCCATCTTTGTTTTCTTCTTCTTTGGACGCCTCAAGTCTGATGTAAGATCCCAGCTTCCTGGTCACCAACCGGCAAAGTTTACGTAACATGCTGGCATCATTCAACCTGCTAAACCAACTCTTCTCATTTTCCCCATGCGTTTCGGTCAATATGGAGTCATATGTATGTACCTGCAGTTTTATACACATATATAATACAAGATCATGTCTGTAGACAATTCCAAAAAGATACACACGTGCTTCACCATTCAAACACGACTTACAGTGACCCCCCAGAAAGATAGACCTGTATAAAATCAACCGTGTTTTTTCTTTTTCTATCGTTTTCTGTTTGATTGTGTTTTTTTTTAATGACCTATGTACCCTCTGGTAATTTAACATAGCTATGGAAAATCACCATTTTCAATGGGAAAATCCACTATAAATGGTCATTTTCAATAGCTATGTTAAATTACCAGAGGGTATATGTTCTTGCGGAACAACTTTCCTTATCATCGCCCCAGCGGAATCTCAACCGTTGCGCGTTACGCCGTCAGCGCCGCCGTCAGCGCTTTTTTTTTCTCCCCTCGTCTGCGCGTCGCTCGCACCTGGAGACGATGGTCCGGACCAGCTGAGAAACAGTGGTTGGGATTATCCTACCATAAACCAACTGCTGTATATCTGGGTGGTGGTTGAGCCACCTACCATTACCATTGGTTGGTAATTTTAAGTATTAATATTAATGGTTCATATTAATGGTTATTATATGGTTAATGATGGTTAATATATATATTATATATATATCTGGGTGGTGGTTGACCTACTCCTCTGAAAAATATGAGTTCGTCAGTTGGGATTATTATCCCCAATATATGGAAAAATGACACATGTTCCAAACCAACCAGATATGGTTTGTATAACTATATAACGTTGATGACAATGGGGAATGCTGGTTCGTTAATCAATCTGGATGCTTATATTAAGGATGATTATGGTTTATCCCCCATTAATCAACGTTATATAGTTACAAACCATATAGTTAGTTTATGGGGATAATAGTCCTTGTCACTATGGTTGATTAGGGGTATAACATGGTATAACTCTAGTTAGTTTATGGGGAATATAACGAACTAGTTGGTTTATAAAGAGGTGAACTATGATTGGTTAGAGAATAGAACGCACTAGTTGGCTCATAACTAGGTGAACTATGGTTGATTACAGGAATATAACTACTAGTAAGTAGTATTCATGGGTTTATAAACCAACAAACTTATGACTGGAGGGGGGGGCAACCGAAGCCAACCACAAGTAGTTAAAACCCGAGTCAAATTTTATGTGTGTTTGGTTTGTTTCACTATAAACAAATCTGAACAAAATATGAAAAATGTGACTATATTTCTATTAGTTTCTTCAGATTTGTTTCACTATGAACAAATTATGGATGCAAATGTTTTTCTTCACTAAAACATGCAAACAAAATATGGATTTACAATGATTTACAAATTGCGATGATCAATACAAATTGAGTATGTTCCATGATTCATGATGTTCGGTTGTTTGGAGTCTTAATGTAGCGCCCTTGTAGATATCTGGCTGTGGACTGTGTGCCATGCGGCATTGTCTAAGTGGTCCATAAACATAGCCATGGCCATAACCCAGTTGACTGTGGTTTCCTAATCTCGTACCAATACAACAAAGCAAAGGGATGCTAAGGTTCCACATGGCGGTTGATCTAAATTCCTTTATCTGCAAACGGCCATTCTTCGCGAATAAAAACACTACTTTCGCAAATCTTTCGCGAACCCCACGTATTATCTGCTGCCGGGGTCTCATGTTGGAACCCTGGCATTGTAATGGACAATCTCTACATGGACCTTTGGATCGACAATCACGATCACTACACAAAACGGGCGCTGTCACGTTTGCACAAGAAACTGTTTTTGATACATGTGTAACTCACTGTTTCGATCAAAGCCACATTGAAATCTTTAAATCACAGATCTGGTGATTTTGTTGGTCAACATTGTTGGGTAAACGATGATGATTCCCCCACAACCATCACTATCATTGCAGTGAGGTCGCAATGAGGTTGTTATAATAATACCAACTGTTAAATTGTTACATAGCTATTGAACGTGGCCCATAGAATTAGTTGAATTACCTGTGAAAGACGGTGATTTTCCATAGCTAACTCTTAGTTTACAATGACGGTACCCTCTGGTAAACTAACATAGCTATGGAAAATCATCATGTTCAATGGGAAAATCCACTATAAATCACCATTTTCAATAGCTATGTTAATTTACCAGAGGGTACTCAGTAAAATGATTTGGGTGGTCAATCCCCACAGTTTCGCCGAGCCACTTCTGACGAAGGCTGTGAAGGTGTAGACCTGCAACAGGATCGAAGCTTTGGTCTGAGGATGCGGGTTTTTAAGCCATACATGGTGTAGTCACCAGAATATTACCATAGTTCATTAGGTTTACCATAGGTCATAGTCTAACAGTTATTAAGTAATTGGGTTTACCACCATTATCAAATATTATCTATAGTTTCTCTATTATGATAACGGTTTATTGATTATCAAATGTTATCTCCAATAGTAAATTTATCCACTATCATTATGATTATATGATTCACTATTGTGATTTTTAATAGGTTTACCTCAGGTTATTACCATAGCCCATTGCCATAGAAAAATACACCATAACCCCAAAAGCATTAGGATTGCACCTATCATATCCGTTCTCATCACTATAACATGCCAGTTGACAACTGGTGATATTATGGGAATCTTGGAATCTTATTATCATAATACTTTCCAGTTGACATATATGATTCGTCTTGATAACATAAGGGTTACCATACTATAACATACTATTGACTATAAGAAATGGAAATATTGTGGGAAGCTGGTGATCATCTAATATTATTACCATAACTTATTATCATCTATTGTCATCTATTATCATCTATTACCATTAAATTATAATCATTATTATCTCCACCATTGTTATCATCTATTATCCAATATTCACCAGTTTTTTACCATTAAATAGAGACACTATCCACCATTATCTGTTATCACTTATAATATTATCCACCAAGTTTAGCATTATTTTCCATGAAAATTACCGATTATTTACCATTATGTTTACCATATATATATATATATATATCCAGCATTATCATCATCCATTATCCATTGTATAATATTTTTTTTTGCCATAATAATGGTGAATAATTGGAGAATAGATAATAATATTGGGTAATAGATGAATATTAGATGGATAATCCCACATAATCATCATTATCATTGTCATCATATATTATGTTAATGATAATGAAACACAATGGATAATAATAATTGGGTAATAGATGAATAATTGGATGCTAATATTTGTGAAATTTCACCATTATTATCAATACTATTAATATGATCCAATTATGGTGTTTCACTATGGCAATGGTGATAATAAATAATCCAATATCATCCAATATATCATCAAGCATGCTGATAAAAAATATTATAACAGTGAATAATAGTGATGATGATTATCATAATATTATCAGCATTCATACCCTCTGGTAATCTAACATAACCATGGAAAATCACCATGTTTCAGGGAAAATTCACTATAAATGGTGATTTTCCATAGTTATGTTAGTTTACCGGAGGGTATGAATGCTGATAAAAGTATGAGAATCATCATCAATATTATTGAGTTTGATAATTATTATGATTATCATTGATATCATTATTATTGATATTGAAGGATTATCCCATATACGAAATGGAAAATAAAAGCCATGTTCCAAACCACCAACCAAATATGGTTTGTATAACTATATAACGTTGATGAACATAATTATATCATCCAATATATGGCAGTGTGTCAAAACCTATAGTACCCCTTCTGTTCACACCAAAATAGCTGGGTTAAAATGGATGTTCATCCCCCTAAAAAATGCTATTTTCATAGGTATTGATCCATAGCCATATCAAAATATTGATGATAATTATTATGATTATTATTGATAAACATAACTATATTCATCACCATTCCTGGCGTTTTATATTGAGTATAAAATAATTAGATCATCCAATATATCATAATATTGCCCATGACGGATCCGGCTGGTGCTGGTATATTAATGCTAACATGACTGGGGTATATTGATGGGATCCATGTTACCATATATAGCAGCACCATGGATCCTATGGGTTGATGTTTCACTCCGGCGCACCATGGGCGCACCTTCCTCCCAGGCTTCTTTTGTGACCCCCTCCGGCGTCTCCACACAGGTGACGCCCAGCCGTGACACGTCCTGACGTAAAGAAAAAATGGACGGGGTGAACCATGGCCATTGAACCATGGAAAAATGAGGATGAAAACATATGAAAACATATGAAAACATGTTTTTTTCATGGATTTGAACCATGAATATCATGAAAGATGAAATTCATGGCAGTTGAACGATGAACACGGCAGTTCCACCATGAACAAATCAAAGTTTCACCGTGAAAAAATGGGAGTTTAATCAGGACAAATATGGACAAATGGACGTTGAAGCATGAACAATGAATAAACATGAGATCTAACGGTGGAAAATGTACATTTAACCATCAAGCATCAGCTTGATGAAAGATGAGAACGTTTCAGAGTTATTTGGTTTGTTTAAGGAAAAAAAAGATACCCTGGATATACATCAGTTGGCCAGTCCTAGATACCCTGCTTTTTGTTTAGCTAGTTAGGACAATAAATCCCGATTGATAGCACAAAATTAAGTTGTTAGTGCTTAGATTTAGCTGCTTAGATCCTTGCCCAAGGTTGACCCAGTACAGGAACCCCCGTTTTTTTGCCATTGAAAGCCGCCCGTTCCTGCAAATGTTCCCTATGATGGGAATATATGTTATTTCATGTTATTTCAAGTTATTTCTATTAGGTTTTGAGCTCACTGAAAATTCAAGATTTTTCCAAAGATGGATCTAGTGGTGGGGACACATGGTGGATAGAACCTTTCGGCAAACACGACCAAAATTTGACAAGTTCAACCCGAAGTAACCCATCTTGTCTTAGTTGAAGCTACTCGGACCTTCCAAGTACCTCGACAAATGGGCTAATGTACCTTGTAACTTGACACATTTGGCATTGTTCATTGCTACTTGTAGGGTCTTGAAACACGTTTTCTCTCCCTAAGTTGCCATCACCGTTGCTCCTGAATGTTGTAGGGATCATCGTCAAAGAAGAGCATGTCCTGATACTCGTATGATCGGGGATCGGGGAGATGGGTTCATAGTATGGTGTGGTTGATATGTTAAATATATTTAAATAGGGTTCCTAAGGGTTTAAAAAATTGGTTCAAATTGGGCCTCTAAACTAATGACACATCAAGAAAATCCGATTGTTCCATCCATTTGGCCACATCATTTCCTAATCTAAAACCATGTGAAACCGAAACCGTGGGACCGTGGGAATTCGCGTGATGGATATTAATGATCTATCTGCCAGAGGAGCATAGAGGAGCTGCGTTGCACACAACGGTCAGAGCCCGGAAAGTGCCGAAAAAGGTCATTTACCCTCTGGTAATTAAACATAACTAATGGATTATCACCATGTTTAATGGGAAAATCCACTATTTCAATGGCCATTTTCAATAGCTATGTTTGACATAACCAGAGGGTTTTATCACGACTTTCACCATCTTTTTGGGGCTTAATGATGATGATAATGATGGGATTTTCCTTTTACATCACTACTAAAAATGGTGGGATTTTAAGAAGGTCACCAGGGCTGCGATTTTTCCGTGTCGCCTCAAAGGCAATGCCCGTCTTTTCCGAAAGCCTCTTGAAGTGCTGCTGTTTACCTCAGCATCAAGGAGTGAAAGTAAGCACTAATAGTGGTTAATAATATTGTTTAATCATGGTTGATAAGGAATTTCACAACAGTTCATAGAATGTTAATATTGATTATACATATGTGTATTGTAACTGCTAATACTGGCTCAATGGTGATAAATTTAAGTGGTGGATCCCCAAGTCACCCTGTTTCTTACCCCTATTTTAGGACACCTCCAAATGAGGCTATAAAACCAATTCTACTAGAATAAGGATATAATTCTGGGTAAATTACAATAATTCACCAACCTGAATTAAGGCCATTTGGGGATGATTTCCCCTATTAACCATGATTCCAGTGTGGCCGCAGTGAGGTCGTTATAATTTACCCAGATAATTGGTATATAATGGAGACGTATAACCAGCGATGTATCATACCCTGGTGGATCTTAGATACCTGTCAACAAATATAATGTTAAGTTTAGCCTGGTTAGGTTAGTACAAATTTTGCCATTGATAGCAAAAGATATAGCAGTACCCAATACTTGGGAACTATAGCCAAATACAATACATCGCTAAATACATTTTACCTTCACAAGATATAGCAGTACCTTGATAGGTCAACCATAGTTCGTATCTAGCCAAGGTTGACCCAGATACTTGGGTTTGCATAGAGATGGGGGGGAGTTACCATAAGGTATGGCAAGGTTAGTAGGAAACAATGATGATCAACCAGCGATCCAGGACAGTGGAAAACACTCGAACACCCCCTGGCACCCCAACCCCCCCACCTACAACAACCATAGTTGACAATGTTAATATAAATGTGTACCATGTTTAAACAACCATTTTAGGGTACACTTAATTTTGTGTACCCTCCTGTCATTTAATCACGGCAAAGCCGTGGAGGATTGCAGCACCAACATCCTAAGGATTCAATAAGGGTACTCAGATAGTTGGTAAAACAACAATAAACCACCCATATGTTGATGGTTTATACCAAGAATTAATGATCAACTTGGGGATACGATTGCTTTACCCACATTGATGTGCTATGTTTTGTTCATCTTACGACATCTTGCTGAAAACCCTTCAGCTGCAGCCAGAGACGCTGCTTTTGTAGATTTCCACCAGTTGCCCGTCTTCAGCCACGTCCCACATGGACACACCCTCCTGCGCAAAGCCGCAAAGCCGCAAAGCGGGACGGGCCTTATATAGAGGCCGTGCAGCACTGGATCGTTGTTTTTTGCGACTAAGAAGAATCGTGAGCATTGCGTTTGATCTACCCTCTGGTAAACTAACATAACTATGGAAAATCACCATGTTTAATGGGAAATGTCACTATAAATGACCATTTTCAATAGCTATGTTTGACATAACCAGAGGGTAGACTGTGTCATTGGGCCCTCAGGGTGCTGGAAAGGTGATATGTCCTCGCAGATGACTTGGGGTTCCATCCAGGCTAGGAAGTGCTTAATTAATAACCATGGCATATCCCAGTTCTGATAAGAATAGATAAGATATGATATGATAAGATAAGATTAGAGTAGATTAGTTAGTTAGATAGATAGACAGACAAACAGACAGACAAACAAATAGATTGACGGATCGATGGATGGATAGACAAACAAACAGACAGATAGATACATAGACAAGATAAAATAAGGTAAGGTAAGGTAAGATAAGATAAGATATATATCACTACTTACTAATTGGGATGCATATCCGGCCGTACATTTGTCGACTTGAAAACGTAGCTGCTTCCAAGGATTGGAAGGCTTCACCACGGCAACTCAAATGCACTCTCCGGCCTTTTTTTTCACCACCAAACCTAATATGTCATGACATTATGTGATGAATGTGTGATGTAAATTATTGTAAATTATATTATATATATAGTGTATATATAAATATATAGACATACATAATATATATATATATGTATATATATATATACATCATGTGTGTGTATTGCATGAATATCCATGAATATTAAACATAGTACGTCATATTACATAGCCGTAAGATTTCGCACAGGGACGGTCCGAAAAAAAAACAGCTCAGCTCATCTGATTCCATCTGCCAGGGTTTTCGGTTTTCGATACGAAAGGGAACGGTTTTTTGAGCCTGAACCTCCAACAAGAAATGGTTTACCCAACAAAAACAAGGCATTAATACGCATTAATGGGATTTATATCTGATTTATGTTGGCTACCATGATTTCTAACTATAATAGGTGAAGTCCATGGTTGTTTCTATGGTTTGCAGAAGATATATCGAATTAGTTAATGGGGGGTATAAACCAACTTGTAACTGGGGTCCCATCTTGTATCGGTTTGGAAAGCCCTAAACGGGAGAAGAGATGGTTTTTACATGACCGGCCCTACAAATCCATCCACCGAAGCCCAACCATTCTCCACTTCCCCACCTGAACCATGAATTTCTGCAGACATTCTCTGCCCCAAGCAGGTTCATCGCAGCGTGATGCCACACCCACCCGCGTGCCAGCGAATCTTTCGTCGCTGTGAAGCTCCTTGCCGAGACTTGGTGCAGCCAAGGAGATTTCCCCTGAACTTCGATTTCTTTGAACCCATAAGTAGTCATAAGTCCCAAATTGGTGATGTATATTCTGCATGCGGTGTACATCACCAAAATCGCCATGGAAACAGGACAGTCTGCTGGGTTGCTTTTTCATGCTTTTTCCTTTTTTGCCAACGTCACAGAGGTCCTGGTGATGCCGAAAAGCACCGTGAATTTGAGGACAAACCAGGGTTTCCTGTAGATGTTAGACCCCAGTGATTGGCTTACTGGTGCCAAACGTAGGGAATGGATGGGTTGCTGGGGGTTGCTGGGATGATTATGACTAGTGATTATGGATCATTCCCGAAAATTCCCTACGTTTAGCACCAGTAAATTGGAGATATATCGCCAATAGTAGGGGCTTCTTTGGGATTCCCCCAAGCCCAGATCCACCAGCTTCGCTCGCTTCGCTCCTTCCAAATGTTGCGCACGTTGCCAAGCAACCGGACTGCCTCTGCAGAGGATAATCATCTCAACATACTGATCAATAGCCATGAATACGATCTATAAATATATAATAATATATACAATATTATTATAATTATACTAAGTTATACTATGTAACATCTCAGCAAATCAAGATAGGTATGAAATTTCCAGCATGTATAGATCATCTCCTAGCAAACCACGGGTGTGTTCCATATCTATGATATACTTCTGGGTCTATAATTCACTTGTTACGGTAAATGGATAACTTAAGGGTTATCTCAGTGGATGTATCATAAAATGGTTCTAGAACCCACTAATATGGAGACAAAGCATCAAAGTGTAAGGTTTTGTTTTGTGGGTCAATTGAACTAAGAATTGGATAGAATCAGCACTTAACCAGAGAATTAGAATACTTAACTTAGACCAGACACTTGTACTTAGTCATTTGTTTCCGGTAATTTAGTCACTTTCTTAGTTAATGACTGTTGTTTAGTACTTTCATGTACTTTACCATAAACAGTGGTACTTGATTGAACTAAGAATTGGTACTTTACCACTTTACCAGAAAAAATGAATACTTAATCAGCAATTTGGTACTTTACTACGAAAAAACTATGAGCTTTGGATGTTGATATTGATCATATCAATTCATGAACAAAAAAAGGAACTATAGACATCTATAGACATCTATAGACATGATAAAACACTAGAAAACCATAAGATCCATAAGGGTCCTATAGAAAAGCACCATGCAAACCCAGGTGCCCGCTGTCCGCCGCACCTCCTTTCCTGAGCTTTGCAGCACGTTGGGATCTGCTGTAGGGCGAAAGGGGGCACCTGTGGCTTGGGCAATCCAGCTCATAATTAGCCAGTTTTTATGGGAAAAAATGAGGATTAACCATGCAAATAGTATGGTAATGTCACTGTAAACCTGTAAACAATAGCAGAGTTGGCACTATATATATATAGCCGTTCTCAAGCTCGAAAGCTTTGAAGTCAGTGAATTTGACAAATGAGGATAAAGTTTATGGAATTCAGATTTTGATGAGGGGCTGGTTCATAGGTTAGATTGTCTGGTTCATCCTAGGAATCGGACGTAGGGTTGTTATAACCCCACATGCAACTGGAGATTACCGCTACTTACCCTACGTATTATTATAACAGGGGTTTAAAAAAAAACGTACTGGCATGAAACGCCACGTATATTATATTATTATGAAGCGATTATGCATAGCACACATAGATGGCAAGTATATTTCACTATAGTATCGTTCATTATTGCACAACAATGATCAACAATGAAGGATAACAAAGCTTATCTCTATATATAATCACCATGCAAAGGGATTATAATGAATGTAACCCATAGAAATGAAATTGATGGTCTGTTGAATCATGTTGAACCAGCGAGCCAGCATCCCTTCCCCGGTGTCACCTCGTCGCAGCATGTACATCTCGGGATACCAGCAACAGGCGTCTAGGTCAAACACCACCAGTTTGGGAACCGCCATGGCAACCACGGCTGCGGAAGGGGGCGGAAATGGTTGGAAAAATGGGATGGTGTTGGATGTGCTGGCTATTGGGAAACAAAACAAAAGTGAAGCTTGCGAGATTTGACCAAAAGCATCCAAAAGCCTCAAATTTCTGCAAAAACCATTGCTGTCAAACAAGATCAAGAAACAAATACTCGATTTTCGGATTTGGGGGATTCGATCCAAGATCTATGCAGGATCTATGCCGTAGCTCTTGGCTCAATTTCCCAAAAGCCTCAGATGGCATTGCGAAAGCGCTCCACGGTCGACCTCCAAGGACTCTGACCTTTGTTGGATCGATTCCTGATGGATCACAATGGTCTATGACGTACCAAGGTATTACATTCTCAAGTTCTCAAGATGCTACATTAACCGTGAAATACCATGAATATATATATATATATATCATATCCTTCAGTAAATTAACATAGACAAATTGCCAGATAGGGGTCGGAAGGTTAGGTTCCACTGAAAATTGATGATGTTCAGGGTCTATGTTAATTTACCAGAGGGCAATTCTTCCTTTTCTGAGTATTGGTGATACCAGCATCACAGGAGTTGTGGGACATGCAAGGTGGGGCCCGTTATGTTGGTTAGTTTACACGCCTCATGAATCACAATCACATGTATCTCCCACAACCCCTAATAGCTGGTTGGTGGTTGACCTACCCCTCTGAAAATATTAGTCAAATGGGATTCTTGTTCCCAATATATGGAAAAAAAGAAGGTTCCAAACCACCAACCAGATATTGCGTGTGTTTAACCGACTTAGCTAAGGACCTGCGGGAAAATGCCATCCCCTGCGCACCTTGGACTGGCTTGAAGCTTTGGCCACTTTCCGCCTGTGAAGTTTCCGTGAAATCTGTGGGCAACATGGGCCTGTGAACTACGGCTGTAGCATGCTGTATCTTGGCGGAAACATTTTTTTTTGCTACCCGGGGTCTTGATCATCTTGATCCACCAGGGCTTGCGGTGGACCATGCAAAATGACGAAAAGTGCCTGCTTTGACTCGTCTATCCCCACAACGGTCGGTTGGGTGATTTCAGCACCGGCAAGTTATGATCCCAGCTGATGGACTGAAAGAAAAATATCTGAAACCACCCAAGAATGTCACCAGTTTGGTGAGTCATCTCCATTAAAATGGCACTTTTTTCCATTCAATTACCCTCCGGTAATTTAACATAGCTATTTAAGCTCACCATGTAGAAAATAGGTATATCAACTATGAATGACTATGTTCAATGGCTATGTTCGTTTACTAGAGTTTTTTTTAAATTGTCCCTACATGTCCGTTTGAATCTTGTTGAATCCGTGTGAAAACTCGTCGCCTCTTCTTGCGTCCAAACTCGTCGATCTCCTGGCGAAAAAAACCACATTACATTCCAGGGCTTGAACATCAAAAATGGAGGCGATTTCCCGCAAGATTCACCACATAGAAACCCAAATCCCCCAAACATGGTCATGTAATGTGTAATGTTATAGTGTAATGTGTAATGTGTAATGGGTAATGTAATGTGGCTTTCAATCCATTGGGGATGCTTGGGACTGAGAGTTTCACCACAAAAAACATGGTTTTCCAAGCGACCAAAAAAAATAGGGCAGTCGTCTTTTTTTGAAGCATACCAAATCGTGGCCATTGCCAACCAAAAAGATACTTAGCATCTGGTTACTTAACATAGCCATGGAAAATCACCATTTTTAATAGGTAAACCATCTATAAATGGGCAATTTTCCAGTTACATATGTTTTGTTTAATCCCCAGTTAGAACTCACAATTGAAAGAAACCCCAACCACAACAATATTCCCAGAAACATGTTTGTGGAGTCTCTGAGAGCCAGCGAAAAACAGTATGTTTGATGCCCACCCTAAAGTGTACTTGGTTCAAACAAACAGATTTTCTCCCTTGGCAGCCCATTCTGCAAGTAGTCGCCATTTTGACCGTTGGACCATCCTGGAAACACTGTTCTATCCTCTCTTTTTGGGAAGTTGCTAGCTACTAGCCAATTTGATTCCTGGAGTACCGTTGTTGATGAAATTTACTTGGTGCGAAACACAGCTAAGCAAGTCTGGGACATCCAGAAAATGATCAAACAAGTCAATTTTAAGGTTTCTTGCCATCAAGTATGCAGATGTGTAGATGTAATTATGTAGTATATAAACATACATACACTGTATAACAGTATATACTATATATATATGTATTACAGTACTATTCATTGTATATTCCGGCTATGGCTTCATCGCCGATCATACAATAATCAGACATATCTGTAATCAATCATAATCAATATCATATGTATAGTGTATATATATATATAATCAGACATCTGTAATCAAACCCTTCATGGCTTCATCGCTTCATCGCATCGCTCGCGGCCCGCGCGAAGCCTCGTCGTCGGAGTTCCAATCTTTGTGTTGCTGCTCCACCTGCGCAGCACCACTCATCACCTGCCTGCGCTGCTCTGGACGTGGTGCCCCCCAAATGTGATGTTTGTTGGTTTAGAAAAATCCCAATAGGTATAGTATAAACATTTAAAAAATCATATAGTATGTATGAAATATACCTGGGATGGTAATAAACCAACAAACACATAACATAATCATAGTATTTCTTGTAACTATGAGACATATCGGTTAGAATTCACCTAGTGCACTGAAGCAACTGTGATGGGCTCCCCGTCATGGAATGATGAGGGTAAATCCACCACTTTTTTGGGCAACGCCATACCATATAACATGTACAAGTGCAGTATAGAAAATATATGAAAATATATGATGTAATACACATGACATTTAATTTATGTACTTATATGTAATATGTACTTTATGATTACACATGTAGAGAACCGCATAGAGATCTCCATTTTCAAAATCACCAAATTATACCGCAGCATCATAGCTGTGGCTTAACTCCCCACTAGTGGCGTTCTGGGTCATGGCATGTCATGGCACCCTGGTACCTGACAACTGACGAGGTCAATTGATCCACCCCCATAGATGGCATAGATGGCAACTCTTTAGCATTAAAAAACACCTGTTAAACTGTCACTCTTTGATTTACCAAAAAAAAAGTTGTTGTGTTTAACCCATGAAGACAATAACATGGCAAATCAAGATGATTTAACCCAACATTTACCATTGAACATTACTGGTTGGTGGTTTTTCAACCCGTCTAAAAAAATATGAGTTCGTCAGTTGGGATGATGACATTTCCAATAGATGGAAAGTCATCATAGCCATGTTCCAAACCACCAACCAGATATAATTTATGTATGTTTATATATATATATATATTGTTTTTCCAGTATGGACATGTTTGGATCGTCAGCCCGCGTATCAGCATTAACCCAATTTTTTAACATTAAGACCATTGTTCGATGGCTTTCTTAACCCATTGACCCATGGCTTGGCCATGGCCTCTTGGGGGGCATCCATGGGAGTCCCATGGCTTGCAGCGCTGCGCCTGTGGGGATTTCGAGCGGATCTATATGGATCAATGATTGGATCAAAAAAAAGGCCTGGATTAGTAGAGATTACTATGGATTAATGATAGCCTCTGTTAAATTAACAGTTTGACCCTGGCAATTTTTTATAGGGGTTGGAAGATTAGTTTCAACTAACAAATGGTGATTTTCAGGGTCTATGTTAATTTACCAGAGGGTAATTGGTAATGGTTCATAGTTGGATGTTTAAAGGGATAACTGGATAACTAAAGGGATATTGATGGGACAATACTTGGGATATCTTTGGATAATACCTTGGGATTATATATATATATATTTTTTTTTTATAATTAGGATAAAGGGATAGTACTTTGGAATTGGGATATTCTGGTATAACGGGATAACCATGGAACAACTGGATTTCCCACATCCTCTGCTGGATCATCATTTTCCCCATTACACTGCAGCCCGATATGGGGGGGTTCCATCAATGGGGGTACCACTAAATCATCCATTTTCATCGGACTTTCTTAATAAAGTTAACAGTTACGGCAAGACTCGGAGGTTTGCCCTACCTTCAATGAGAGGTTACACGATGCTGCTGATGCTGCTGATGCTGCTGATGATGATGATGATGGTGGCAATGGTCATGGTGATGGTGACGATGATGATGATGATCATCATCATCATGGTTAGCCCCAGACCCTGACCACTAAACCAACCAAAACCTCACGGAACCCCTAATAGTGTCATTGTATTGTTTTACGTCTAGACCATGTCTGATAACGCAGTGTAGCCGGTATTTGGGGCTTGGGCAAAGCCCGGGGTTCGTGTATCCTCATAGCAAAACACAAATGAATTAGTAGTAAAGTAACATGTGCAGCAGCTTCATTCATTTTTCAGACTCCGCCAGGTTTGGTCTCAAGGATGCCTCTGGCATCAAATTCGTTTAAACGCAGGCACTTCAACTCTTCTTATCTTTGCAAATGATTTCCAGCCCTCACTGGACAAGTTCCAAAAACGACCCCAGCCAATCACTGGTCAAAGGATTGCAAAGAATAAGGTTGGATGCCTTGTGTGGAAAACACCGTGGAAACTGCAAGAAATGTCACTCCTATCCCAGGCGCCGGAACTGAATCCGCGGTGGGATAAAGGGGGGGAGCAACAAGACTGCAGATAGGACGGCGACTGTCTTACAACTCCTTCAGTTCTGCACATGCTTACTGACATGTCATAAGGTCATGTGCAGCAGCTTCATTCATTTTTCAGACTCCGCCAGGTTTGGTCTCAAGGATGCCTCTGGCATCAAATTCGTTTAAACGCAGGCACTTCAACTCTTCTTATCTTTGCAAATGATTTCCAGCCCTCACTGGACAAGTTCCAAAAACGACCCCAGCCAATCACTGGTCAAAGGATTGCAAAGAATAAGGTTGGATGCCTTGTGTGGAAAACACCGTGGAAACTGCAAGAAATGTCACTCCTATCCACGGTTTCCATCCTGGCTTTGCCGACAAGTCTACTTTTGCAAATCTGGAAGCAAGGCTGCTGCAGCGAGCTTAGCATGTTCCCGTTGTATTGCTGTAAGCTTGAGTGTGGCCACTGTTGCAATGGTATCTTGCAGATATATCCTGGCGGTGGACGTGCTTGTCCACCGCCCCCTCAGCAACGTGCGCTCCATGCTTTGGTGCATAAGGAAGTCGGCGGTTGCACCACCTCTTCTGAGGGAGTAAACTGCATATGTGCCAGAAAGGGCAAAATGTGTCACCAAATTATTGAAGATCTGCCGAAAGAACGGCGCACCATTTTGCAAGAGTTCATCATTCCGTCTCAAGGATTGACACGCTTTACGCAGCCAATAGTTTGCTAACACACTATTGATAACCACCATTTCACCAGTGTTTCGACGCTGCCCAGTTTTCGAGTCACGCAACATGAGGACAGCCTTACCAGGGTAAAATGTGACATCTCTGACTTTCAGGGCATACAATTCCCCAGGTCGCAACAGAGCATCGAAGGCAACGAGGATGCCAGCAGCTTCTTGAACATAACCCGCCAAAACACAAGCTCCTGCAAATGCTTGAGTAAGAAGAGAGCTGATAGGTATTACACGCACTGGAGGTTCAAGCTTTTGCCATGCCTTTATCAATTTCCAACTTTGTCGCAACTTGCCACCTGACGCTGGCAAATAATATTGAAGACTAGCCAGCGCATCACTGGCCATTCCTTTTGACTCACCTTCAAAAAAGATGTGCTCAATCCATGCACTTGCAGCATCATCAAGAAAATCAATATGAGTCAAGTCAAATTGTGCCTCCAAGAAGAAAGTTGTGATTTGAAGCAAGGCGAGTTGATACCTCTTGAGCAGTGCTGGCGTAATCAGCGCCTCTTTGAGCGTAAGGCCTTTACGCCTTTGCTGACGTTCTTCTTTGGTCGGTCTGCCCATCGGCTAGGAATGTCAGCAGGGTTATCGGTGGAATGTATGAATGCAACAGATAACTTGATACCAGAAGCAACTAACAGTGAGTTCAACCGTTGAATCCCTTTACGAAGACGAAATGAGGATGTTCTGCCCTTAGCTACAACCGAGGCAACCACCTGGCTATCAACCAAATGCAAAACTCTCTTACGCTGACCTGTTAACTTTCGCAAACGCCACTGCATTGAGTTTATGAGGGCCTGTAACTCAAGGCAATTAATGTGGGCTTGATGCTGCCATGTATACCCATGTACAATTCGCCATGTAAACAAGCTGGTTCGCAGTCCTGCTCTTGGGTAGGCTTTGACCCGAAATGGCACACCCAAGTCAAGCCGGATGTCTGACCCTGCACGTTCTCCCTGACGCATGACCTCATGAACTAGTTCAGGGACTAACGGGTCGTCAGGTTGTGTTTTTACAAAACATGGATACTTGGTCCAACCCGCTGGCGCCGGCGTCGGCTTTGCTAACAGCTCAGAACGAGTGAGGACTGGGGTGGTTTTGTCAACATGACGGATCAACTCATAGAACAAAAGCTTTATAGATGGCACATGGAAGGTATTCCCAATCATACAACAGCCCAAGTTGAATGCAGCATCCTTGGAAAGTTTGGGGGGAATTGCTTCAGAGATATAACCTTCACTGAAACCCATCAAACGTTCCCTTTCTGAAATTGAGGGCAAACGCCAAACCCCTTCACGCCACAACAGGTGAGCATCCTCATATTGATAAACCTGGAACCGGTATCGGTCCTGCTGCCATCGGAGCTGGGCCAGGTTCGACGCATGCTCAAGTCCTGCTGGCTGCGCTGGAGGGCGTTGACGTGGCAAGGCACGGGTGAAGGTTGGAAGGGGCCCCTTCCCAAGGTGATGCCAACCTTCATCTTCCCAATGCTGCATCACTTGCGTTTGCTCTGGGAAATGCCATTTCTTTGAAACTCCATCATCGACAAGAGATTCTCCTTCACCAGCATTCACTGGCCAAGAGCACCAGTAAAGTCGAGGCCTCCTTACCGGCGTCAGCGCATGGGCTTGGATCAAAACAGGCTGGACTCCCAACACAGTAGAAAATTCTTTCTTCGAATCAAGGGTCATAGAATCTACATTCTCCACCATAAACCAGACCTTTGGTCCAAATAGTTGTTGGCAAAGTTTGATAATGCGAGGGATCTCGAAAAACAAACGTGACCGTGAACCCTGAAGCCCTTGTCTACCTGCAAGCAGCGCCGTTAGGTCTTGGCATGGACTGCCGGCAATAATGAGTATGATATCAACATCAAAGCCTAATGACATGAGAATTGATCCCACAACTTTCTCGTCAACTGATTGAACGCCCCCTAACTCAAGGACCCCTGGCCATCTTCGTCTGACCAAACGTTTGCACTCCTTATCGATTTCAGAGGCTGCAAATCCAACTATGCGGCAGGGGAGTGTGCTCAACGCCACCATAGCTGCTCCAATCCCGTCAAAAAGTGATAGCACAAACACTCTTGGTCCACGGTTGTCAGAAGCTGGCATGGCACCAGCAGATCTGAAAGGCAAACATCTTTCACTTTGAAAACTTGGTGATTGTAGGGCCCTCAAATTGGCGCGGCCTTCATCTGTCAAGCTCATTGAAACACATAGACCACCACCCTTCTCAGATGCATCACTAGCCGTTACCAACCCATCAACAGGGGCCCTTAGGTCAGCTACAGCCATAGCCAACATAATGCAAGCCCTCACCAAGGATCGACGAGCTGCAGGCATCCAAGGCATGCACTGATGCACTGGTCCACGAGGCCAGCACTTCCTGAGCAAGCTCATGAGAGGCCGACGAAACTCAAAGCAACGAACAAACCGACCCATGATCATAAGTACCATTTTGTTGCTGGGTTTGTCATGTGAAAGACCCCAGAAACTGAACCCAATCACTTCCCAAAGTTTTTCGGGTGGAGCACTCAAGATTCCTAGTTCACCATCGACGAAGGCCCCCATTCTTGTGACACGCACTTCACGGGTGTGTGACTTTTTGGGGGAGACTGCAACCCCTTGAAGCTCATACGCGTCACGCTGTTGAACCTGTAAGTTGGAAGGTTTGCCCTGCAGCTCCAGCTCGAGAGGATTCTATTATTTCGGGATTATCAAAATCATCGAGGTAATATTGAACCCAAGTAAGCTCCTTAGTCTTTGAACCCTGAGGATTGGGCCTATCACGCCGCCACTCAGCGCCAGCAGGGAACCCTGCTCCTATAGGGGGGTCTGCCAAACCAAGTCTACGATGGAGGTGCTGGAACAGGCCAACCGCGTTAATCCACCCCATTGGAATTACTCGAGAGCAAACATAGGCCATCTTTAATTCAGGGCACCCAACCAGCTCTCCAGGCACTGGCCATCTGAAACACATGTACTTACGCCATGCTCTTGGCAAACACCAAGCATAAAGGCACCTCGCTGGTCTTCAGATGACCAAAGAACCGTATGATTGGGTGGCAAAACAAGAGAGGCCCAGTTGCTGGAGGCACTGAGCGTCTGCAGATCACCTCTCATTAGCATTTGGAAGGTGTTGCTGGGCACAAAATTCATGATTAACCTGGTAATTCTCTTTTCCCCTGCTGCAGGGCTGCCTGACTTACCTACAGCAAATGCACCGTTAAGTACCTTAGTATTTCCCACGCAGAAAATCTCCGATTCAGGTATGGGCTCAAGGATGTTTCGCTGGAACAAACATTCCACAATGCGATACCATTCTTGCCTGGTTGAATTGATCCTGGCTTGAGGCACTTTAGAGGGCCATAAGTTAGATGGCTTCAGGGTCAGTTCGGGGTTCTCTAACCACCTCCGCACCTCTGTGTCCGCCACGTTCACCGCTTGGAGACTGCCGCCAACTGAAGCGTCGGGCAGGCCAGGTAGAAGTTCCTCCAGGCGCAAAGGCAAAGCATACGAAACCTCATCACCCCCATAGTCAAAGGTCTTTGACTGCATGAGGCTATCATAGTTCGGAAGATTCTTGGAAGTAATAGGGTCTTGGATAAAACGACGAACATGCGTGGTGATGAACTCAAGAGCAGCTTTTTGACCAAGTCCAGGTTGTGAAGGGGCGAGCTTAGGTGGGATATTCCAATCACAATATTCACCATTGAGAACACAAATAATCATGAAACGCCACAGTTGCATGCAACCCTCATCTACAAGTTTCTTACGCTGTTGTCTTGGCAGGTGACTGAAAGCAGACCTAGTAACCTCAAGGACACCATTGTTACGGCTTTTCAACAACTGCAACAGCTTCAATGCAGCTCCCACAGAAGGGACCCATTGGAACGGCAACAAGTCCCTCCGGATTGGCGAGTCTGTTTTCGGTGTCCAAACTTGCTTGAAAAAGTCTCTGATGAACACTCCGTCTCGCGGATGGCTAAGTAGGAGCTGCGCCAACCCGATACCTAATTGTAAACAACTTTGCTCACAAGAGATGATGTCACGGCAGAACTTGTGCACAGGAGTATTGGCAACACGATTCACACAAAGAGCGTCACGTAATACTTCAAACGTTTCACAAAATTCAAAGAACCTGGAATCATCCCTGCAAATCCCGGGGCTGTTATTGGGGTTATTTTCCGCAGACTTGGTCGCCTGACCCCCAATGCCCTCTACAGCAAAAAGGTCATTGGATGACATGGCAGCATTGAAAGGACGATCATCCCCTGTGCCCCCGGCCAACACCGGGCAAACGATCTTCACACCTCTGTGTGACTGATCATTGGGATTCACGCCATCTTCAAGGTTGCCTGCATCACCAGCTTTCACTGGCTCAAAAGGTGAAACGACTTCAGCAGGGATCACATTCACCGGCTGCCCTTCCCTCCTGATCTGTTGTTCAGGTGGGTCATCATTCTGCTTTTCCATATCTTTCGTGACTCTCCATCTCGTCGAGGAAGTTCTTCTCGCAGCTGACGGAAGGTCGTGTCCTTCGGCGGGATCTCCTTGGCTAGAGGCATCCCCCTCTCGTCTGCGAAGTGAACATCTCGGTCTCGGACATCTGCTTTCCTTGGACTCCTGCTGGAACTTCTCTCCTTCATCGGAGTGGGACTTCGACGAACCCTCATCGCTGGACGATGCGCTGGACTGGAGGGGTGGAGCTGAGGAGAAGGCCTGCTGCGCTTGGCCTCCTCCCCTCCGAGTCCCTAGCCCACGGCCATTCGATGAAGCAGCTGCTCATTCTTGGCTTGTTGAACAGCAAGGGTTCGAGCCACATATTCCTCACGAGAGCTTGACACCGTGGGCATATCATCCATGGGCAGGAGTTCAAGCCAACGACTGGCTCGATCTGTTCCATCCCTCAGCGTCATGAGCAACGCCTTGAAGCGCTGTAGGAGCATGTCCCCAGCCTCACCAATCTTTCCTTCGACCAGCATGTCAGCTGCAGAGGCAAGGGTTCGTAGTTCTCGATATTTGTCAGGGGAAATCCCGCCTTGGAACTGAGGGATGGCGAAGGACAGGAGATATCTGACAGCCACCGGTGAAAGGGCCCTAGTCTTGGTGTCAAGAGACCCAAAATGGGTCCCCAGCTGGTCGTGCATCGTAGTGTAACCAACCTGCATCAACTTCCCGGGCTTCTTCTGACTGAGGCTGCGAAGCTTCCTCTGCCGCCCCATGGGATCGCCTTTGGACACTAGGCCAACACCTAGCTCCTCATTATCTTCACTCTCTTGACTAGAATCGCTGCCAGACTCATCATCGTGATCTCCTTTCTTACTGTGCTTCTCCTTCTTCATGACGTGCCTCAGGAGATTCAGGGTGCTAGGGTCCACTTCCTTCTTGACCTTCTTCTCCAAAGCTTCAGCCACTCCCAAAGCCCGACTGGCAAGCACCGCACCAGGGTTCTGGCCAGTCCTGGCATCCTTCTTCTTGAGAAGGTGACTACGAAGCATGGCAAGTCGCTCTTCAGCAGCTTGTTTAACCTCTTTTGGAGCATCTGAATCCTTGGGATCCTCGTCTATCAAAGCATCCAAAGCGGCCTCCTCTGCCTTGCGCTTCTTCGGGTTCTCATCCGGCCCATGACGACCTTTCCCATCCTTGGGGCCAGGTCTACTCGACTTCGGCTTTTGTGGACTCTCCGACTCCTCACCTGAGCGGCCCTCATCTCTCCTCTGGTGAGTGCGCCTCCTCCGTCCACTGCGGCCAATGACATGGCCACCGCTATGCTCATCATCATCATCCTCATGACCAGAACTTCGATGTTTTCCCTTTGACTTTTGCGTCTCCTTATTCTCATCTTCATCCTTCTTAGGGCTAAGACTCAATGGAGAAGGCAGGGTGACCTTTTTCTTCTTCAGCACAGTCAAAGACACACCCCATTCCGTGAGGTACTCCTCAGCTTCACGGCGAAGTAAAGGAGTCCACTTCAGCACATGAATGGGTCCAACACAAGATGTCCCGATCTTCTTCACGCAGGCTTTCAAGGAGGCCATCCTACAAAAATGGTGGTAACAATCGGCTCGGAGCTCGTTTTTCGTCCACCAGTCGTAGTACTGGTCTGAGCAGGCACAGTAACCAATCATGGCAAAAGCCCCATCCGTGTCAGCAGGATACTTTCGCACCATTTCCACTACAGCGTGCCCCTGAGACTTGCCATCGTTGTCCAAGGTCTCTATCAAAAGGTAATCCTTGACTGAGCCCCAGACATCATTAAAGTCCCTCTCACTGTAGCTATGGCACGGACGCACAGCCTTCTTTGCATCCAGATTTGCTGCTCCTCTCCCGGCCATCACCGGGAACCAGCCACCAGCAATCACTGGTGGCCTGAGCAACAGGACTGCAGATAGGACGGCGACTGTCTTACAACTCCTTCAGTTCTGCACATGCTTACTGACATGTCATAAGGTCATGGTAAACCCAACAATGAACCATCCCTAATAGAGGTTTATTATTGGGTATACCCAATGATGGTTTCATTAACCACTCATATGAACAACTATTAGTGAACCTTCAACCATCCATCATTCTTAATCCACTGAGTAACTAATTAGCCAATCATTAACCATTATAAAACACCATAAACTGTTGGTTAACCATTGCTGGTTGGTGGTTGACCTACCCCTCTGAAAAGTATGAAAGTCAGTTGGGATGATTATTCCCAATATATGGAAACATAAACGCCATGTTCCAAACCACCAACCAGATAAAAAATTGCCCAGTCGAAATAGTTGATTTACCCATAAAAAAATGTGATTTTCCAGTTTACCAGAGGGTAACCGTTGGTTTTTTGCATGAATTCTTCCACCACATCACCGATCCACCTGCCACGGGCATCCCCATAGGCCCCATGGGCACGCCGCAGCCACAGCCACCGCAGCCACCGCAGCCACCGCAGCCACAGCCGCCACAGCCGCCCGCCACGGGGAGGCCGGGGCGTGGCATCACGGGTCTGGGCTGCACCTGAAAAACGGCGGCGAAGAAAGGAAAGGGTATCACCACGGTGAAGGATATATTGATGGTAAATAATGATACTAACATAAATATGATAATAGTTATCATTAAGCATTATAATATATTATATTTATAATGAGTATCTACTATCAATATCATATGTTAATAATCATCTATGATATTGATGGTTAAGAATCATGGCTTTGTAAAGATATACTGTATATCTTACTGGAATTTAAATAAGGTCTACTATCATTTATGGCTTTACCATCAATATCATGGATATATAAAGATCTAATAATTATATAATAGTTACATAATCTAATAATTATAGTACTATATATATGATATAATAGCACTCTTAACTTTATCACTATCATAATCTTTATAATGATAGTTAATGTTAAAGATGGAGGTACTGGAACTCCGGAAACGCCCAATTGTTGTATGAAGCCACATCCTTCACTTTGGAGGGTCGAGGTGTCTCTAAAAATACCGATCTGGAAAGGATTTTTTTTGGGATTTATCATTTATCATGATTTATCATGGGTTAAGAATGGATTAACAATGATATCAACCATGATGAATGGGATCGTTTATTGGATGCTGGGATACTTCATGGGATACTCTCTGGTCATTGAACAGATGGAAGATTGCCATTTTTTATGGCGCATTCAGTTCGATGAATGAATCGACAAATGTTGGTATGTTGATGGGTGTATACCCCCTGGTGAACTAACATAGCAATGGAAAATGGTCATTTATAGTGGATTTTCCCATGAAAAATTGTGATTTTCTATTGCTATGTTAGTTCACCAGAGGGTACATGTATAATCATGTACCCTCTACTAAGCATACAAAAGCTATTGAACATGGCCATAGAAATAGTTGATTTACCCATTAAAAATGGTGATTTTCCATAGTTATGTTAGTTTACCAGAGGGTATATACAGTACCTAGACCATCCATGTACCAATAAAAGTTGGTATGTTGCCCCATTGCCCATGAATTTCATGGGGTTCGAAGGAGGGAATAGCTCTCTCTATATATTTGCATTGATCCCATGTGGCTAGCAAAAATGCAATGTTTGTTGGTTGGGAACTCAAGAATCTCTCTATATATATATAATATGTATATATTAAAGTAGTATATGTGCACTCCTATTATATTATCTAAATGTGATTACATGTCATGTGTATATGTTGTTTATTATCTGTATTGAAGCCTTATCTGTATAATACTATGTCCAATCTGAATCGCTTAGTCAACAGAAATGATTGATATCTTCATTTGACTAATACTGTGTCAACAGAAACAGAATTTGATTAATTAATGTGGGTAACACAATTTGATAAACCATCCCCCAGCCATCACCATGTTTATAGGTGGTATAAACTTACCATTCCCAGTCATGGGTGGTAGACATGGCATTGTTTTACCCACATTAATTGGTGAATATCTATCATCAATTCGGATAAGCATGGGATATACTATGGTGAAAATTGGGATTATTAACCAATATTCACCAATATTAATCATCATAAAACCATAATTCACCACTATTATATAATCAACATTAACCAACATTAACCATTGTTTATGGCATTGTTTTACCATGTTTTACCAGCCAGGTCCTCCTGGCGACTCCGAGCAGCTGAGCAGCCCGACCATGGCTTGAGCCGGTGGAGCAAGGCCTAAACGCTCAGCCTCAAAGGCCATGGCTTGGTTTGGGGATCAAACTATGGTAACTGGTGACATGTCCATATTTATATCTATACTATATCTATATTTTATATAACTAACTATAATGTATCTATAACTATAGGGTTGAAGAACCACAGATCTTTATATATGTATACAATATATGTATCTAGTATAATGTATCTAGATATCTAAGTATCTGGTTGGTGGTTATATATATATACATATATGTATATGGAAAATCTACCATTTATGGATATGTTTTATATTAGATATATTTGATATCTACCATATGTATATATATATACTGGTTGGTGGTGACTTAACCATCTTGAAAAATATGAACGTCAATGGGAAGGATGGGAATCCCACTGTATCATGGTAAATTCACCAACAGAAATGGTGACTTGACCAATAGATATTTATATCTATATATATATATAATTAACTATGGTAATGTATGGTCAGTTTCCGGAAAAAAATAGTTTGATACCCAAGCCATGAAAGTCATGGAAGTAGTTTACCTATGATCAGTTTCCGGAAAAATTAGGTAAACTTGCAAATTCATTCAGAACCATATCAAACCATAGTTGTGTTGGGAATTTTAGATATCAAACATGATCAAACTATATGGTGATTTACAAAATTCATGATGAACCTATTTCATTCAACTAATGTGGGTAAACCCAATTTGTTGTGTAACTTATAAGTCTGATCTTTGTAATTCCGAATGACTGTTACTATCACAGTCAGCTCCAAGAGCTCGGATTGGAATTTTTTCACTTGTGAAAGGTGTTGAATTCCTTCCGATAATGATAACTCCCCCATAGAAACATATCCCATAGGATCCATGTATGCCATATATGGTAACATTTACCATCAATATACCCCAAATGTTAGCATATATACCATACATGGATCCTATGGGTATGGAAACCATGGTTGAGTACAGAATCTCTACATTTTGGTGTTTCCTTTAGGGAGGTGTCACTTGGATGGGAATTCTCTGGCGTTTCTCACGAGGGAAACCGCTCGCCCAGCCCACACTTCGCCACTTCGCCCCCCCGTGGGCGATCAGCCGATCGCATCTGGCCAAAAAGATGCGGAAGTTGGTCAAATTCCTACAAGAAATTACTGAACATATATATATATATATTAATATGTATATATATATTACAAATATTATATATGCATGTATATAAAATATTATAAATATATTATATGTGTGAAAATTACTGTTCTCTCTTTTGGGGTTGCTATAAGTTTAAATCTGATCGCAACCAAAGGATCTGGATGAATCAGAATGATTCCGACCCATCCCTTAGCTGAAAAAAGGGTCACGGATGCCCCTCTCGCCCATTGTTGTCGCTGAACATTCCCATTTGAGCGTAACGGCCAGACCGTATACAAAAGACGTTAATTACACTGCAAATTTCATGAAACACTCACTATATCTATCTAACTAATCCTATCTATTATATCTATCTATCTATCTATCTATCTATCTATCTATCTATCTATCTAGCTAATCCAATCTATCTATCTATTTATCTATCTAACAAACAAACAAACTTACTAACTAGCTAGCTTACTAACTAACTAATCCTATCCATCCGTCCATTCATCCAGCCATCCATGGGGGGGGCTCTTAAAATGGGGGATCCTCTGCCACCGGGCGGCCTCCCGGCGTTTTTGCTGCAACCAGAACTCTTGGTTCAACGCCATAGCTCTGCTCTGCTGATGTTTTTTCTGTGACTTTTGTTGTTTGTAGAGTTGGATGAAACACAACAGATCCATCTGTACCTAACCTGGCTGAAAAAACAACTTCATTATTGATGATGATTCTTCCGTCCCGGAAAACATATGTTTTCAAAATAAATCGTGCAGATGGCATGTGATGTATGAGATAGTCCCCGAACAGTTGTGAATGTGATGTATGCAGTCAAGAAAGTAATTCGCAAATGAATGGTAAGGCTTGAGTGAAGATAGTGAAGTGAGATCGGCAAAAAAATTAACGTCTTTTTGAGATCACTGTTGCCATCGAAAAACTCACATCTTTTGCCTTTTGCTTGTCGCGTTGATTGCGCCCAAAACGTGGGCGCAGAATGTTTGAACGTATTGGAGTGCCCCATTCCATCCGCTGGTTCAAACTTCATTTTCCCGATCAACATGAATTATAATTCGAGCTGTGGTAAACTCAATATCACCAAAGCTCAAATATTGGGGATGGATCATACCACTCCATGTATTAAAATGGTTCAGCTTTACTTGCAACGCCCGATTTAGACCATTCCATTCCATCTGCTCTGAGTCAGGCCGCTGCACCGCTGGTGGTTTTTGGTATTTTTGGGCCGGTGCTAGACACGAAACGCCGTTGATGTGGAGGTTTCTTGGAATGATCCCCAAAACATCCCAAAACCCATAGGGTTTCAACATGTTTCAACAGTGAAATGCTCGAAAAAAGTTGATAATTTTTGGAGTAGCCCTATTTATGAAACCGCCATTTTTCGGCTGATATCTTCAGGGCGATCCAATGTTTTCAGACCAATTCAGACCAATCACCATGCTTCAAACCAGCACACGAGACAAATCATCGGCTGGTGTCAGTACTTGTTCTTGAACGGTAACAATCATAATC